GTAACTACATAACACTGTTTTGAGCGATGCTTTTTACAAACAAAATACTCAGTGGCCAGTGGCAGATAAGCATATCGGGCAATGTCTCATATTTTGGCGAATGAAGTGGGTAGTAGGCATTACGATTTTTGGCTGTTTTTTTTTATTTGAGTAAGTCTAACACCCGCAGACATAGGTCCGTGCCTTTTTTTGAACATTTTTATATGTTGTTGTTTATTTCATTTTATTTGAGATGGATTCGTGCGTGTACAACTTAATTAGCGAATCCCAATAACCTTTCTATCTTCAATATTTCTTACTAGCGGTAGGAATTTGACTCAATTTGTATGAAGTTAGCACCAAATCTCTATCCCTAGTAATGAAAACCACACACAGATAGAATATTATGACCCACTGGTAATCTAATTTACGTATTTTAGCAAAGGTGGACTTTGTCTTATTAGAAATTTGAAATATTATAAATTAAAACAATAATCAAAAACCCGAATGAAATTTCATTTTTATCCAATACAAATAGCGAAAGTAAAAAATAAACATTAAAATGTTTTATGTATATTTATTTACAGCTACTTTTATACAACAAAATATAAGTATGTAGGTATTAAAATATTTTGGACAATATTTACAAAACAACAATAAAATAGAACCTCCTCCTTTTTGGGAGTCTGCTAAACTTGAGTAATATACTAATAGCAATTAAATGACATGAACCGTAGGTTTTATGGGCGACAGGTACCGCTTCCCATCAGATGGGCTGTTTGCTCGTTTGTCACTGAGTAGTATAATAAAAATAATAATAATAGAACAGCCTTTCATAGTGTATATAGGTATGACGACTTCTTGTGGGTCGTATTATAAGGTGTTTCCCGTGGAATTAAGATAGTCTCCCGCGTTAAAAAGTAGCTTAAGTCACTCTCCAGCCCTCCAATTACATATCTTTAATCCGTCACTCTGTTTCGATGTGAAAAAAGGACAAATAAACACACTTTCACATTTTTAATATTAGTATGGATTTATTTACTTACTCTAGGTGTTTTTTTTTTAAATTAATGTAACTTTTTTATTTATGAACCGATTGAAATAAAACTAATACTAAATGTTATGTAAAGTTTACCATAATATATTAGTAAAAACCGCATCCAAATAGGTTAAGCCGTTTCTGAAATTAGCGCGCACAAACACAGAAATTCTAAAAATCATTGTTTTGGGTTCTATTGCGCAAGTAAAGACCCCCCAATGATAGTTTTTCTTAATTATCATCCATGTACAGACAACGATCAGTTACACTTTTATTATATGTATAGATTTATGTGAGTATTAATTGTTGGTAGATTTGTCCGTCGCACAAAAAGATAGTCGAGCAAGATGTATGTTATGGATACTCGTTCACTTTGGGATATATTTTAAAATTTGCCAAATATATTTATATGGATTGAACACAAAGCTCCATATTTCGTTAGTCTTTTGGAATAACCGTCACGAAACAATATTGCAACTTAGTATTGAGATAATTGAAGAAAAAGAGCTAACACAAACCTTAGTTATTTTAAATCTAACAAAATCAATATAATATTAAGTTATAATGGTTCTTTTTGCAATTCTCGATTAAATATTATCCAATATCCATCTATCAACATGTATTTTTATCAAGCCAGAAGCAAAATTTTCGATAAATAGTATTATTATCATATCTATTCCTATTAATGTTTACATAACTTTAGTGCGCCCTCTAGACTAGTGTGGGTCAGATCGCAAATTGATTCAGAGTAACAATTGCCCCCGTTATCAGCTACTGATAAGCTATCGATACCTTTGAAGTTGCCGCTAAGAAAACAAGATATTTGTGTACCTTGATCTAAATATTAGATTCTAAAAAGTTGTGTTGAATCATTGGAGGGACCATAACATGTAGGGTTTTTACTTTTTAGATTTGAAATATATTAGCTCGAAATATACTGTCTTTTTTACATTTTTCTTCGTCGATTTGTAATGAAATATTTATAGTTGGCTATATATCTATATTGTATGTAAAACGAAATCGGATTTGTTACAACACTTAGATATAACTCGAGAACTGCTGAACCAATTTTTATGGTCTTTGTTTTGTTGGATTTGTTTTCATCCCGAATAACAGAATAACTATTAAAAGATTGGAAAAATTCAGAAAAAAGAATGAAAAACAAATCTATTCCATACTAAGTGTCAAAACGTACCTAGGGACACACTGGGCACATTTCAGCACATTTTCTATTTCTTAGAAATTCGAAAATTGCGGGATTATCATTATGGCCATCCTAGGAATGGACCTGAGCAAAGCGAGGGGGACCGCTAGTTACACATGAAACGCACAAGAATTGGGCTAGATATGAATAGTTATAAAAACAAAATTCTTAGGTTTTACATATTAGTATACCCTTATATTGCAGTTTTTGTGTTTTTTCTCAGAAATGAGATATTTTCCCGCGGTTAAAAGTATCCTATATGTTGACCCAGATAATCAGCTATCACAATACCAAATTTCATCAAAATTCCGCCAGTGGTTTTTCTGTGATGCGGTAACAGACAGACAGACAAAAATTCTAAAAACTATAGATTCGGCCTCTCTATTGATAATAATGTCTATTTCAATTAAATTTTCCAAAAAATTTAATGTACAGATTCGACTTAGTTACAATTTTATTATATGTATAGATTACTCTTCAGTACATAATGTCGTATATGTTAATGGTCGTATTAAACATAAAAGATATGGCCAATTAGTTACATTACCGTATTAATAACATGTATATACGCATTTAATTTTATTGCTGGCTGATCTGCATCGACCCCGAGCTTTCTAGCATTGAATCTTAATAGTTTGTCATTAATTGAAAGTGGCAGCTATTTACTGACTTAAGTTTACGTTTATATATGATATTTTAATAAAACTTACTGGTAGTTTTAATTTTAATTTTTTATATCTTACTAGCGACTCACCGTCGCTCCAGTCGGGTTCGTCGTTTCCCGCAGTAAAAAATATCCTATATGTTGACCTAACTAACCAGCTATCATCATACCAAATTTCATCAAAATCTGTCCAGTGGTTTTCTTGTGATGCGTGCCAGACAGACAAAAATTCTAAAAACTATAGATTCGGCATTTTTATCGATAAAAAATGACTATTTTAAAAAATGAATATTTTATTTATAGATTCTACCAAGAATTTTATTATATGTATAGATATGTGTAATATATATTATAGTCTAGAATAAATTCTTTTATAGCCAACGATGTATAATACTGTGTGCGAACGCTAGCTTTCAGAATATAGAAGATAACTGTGACAAATTAGCGTCTCAAGTTGTAGAGCTGCGTACTGCTGAGTGTATAAGGATAATATGAATATCCTTTGCCTTAACGTTAAAAGAGTCAAGACGGATAAGCATAGGCGATCTGTCCTCTGTAACAAAATGTTTTAATAAATACATACGTATATTGTCTTTCAGGCGAACCTATGATGAGTTAATTGATTGATATACATACTTATTTTTGATTAATACTAATTCATTTTATTATATCAGAGGTCCATCACCTAACTATTTTTTTAACGTTGGGAAATGCATTTAGGCATACCACCTGCATACATACAGGTTATGTGGTACTCACCGGCAAAGCCAGTACTACCCACTAAAACTCAACGAAACCTTCCCCGTCTTAATGGAGCATCGCAGGGTCGCTTACGCACTAAACTACGACGCCCCGACGGTAGGTCTGCCGGAGAAGACCACAATAACCATGGGGTTGCTCCAACGGTCCACTCTGCTAACAGAGAAGTACCAGGAGCAATGCGCATGGCACACCGCCCACCGAGGTGGCCGCCTCTACCACCGCCTCTCAGTGTGTTTCATGGCTTCGCGCCCGGCTGGATTGCTGGACGCTAATGAACCCCACCACGACAAGGTGGACGCACATTGGGGGGATTCATGCTTATTCTAACATAGACTCTTATTTTATAACATAGATTGTATGATATGACCTAACAAGTGACCTTATTTATCCAATGCACCTATTTGTCCCCTTTCCTTAATATGAAACTCAACATTATTCCAAGAATATTTGTTCTGGTCAATTAATATAACTGTAATTCTAAACTTCACATCTACTTTAGATGTCATCAACACTCTTGATTGAGCATGACGTATTGCTTGAAACGAATTCTAATGAAATATTGCCACCATACTAACACACGCCATATTAACATTTATTAAAAAATATTTTGTTTGTTTGTTTGTTTTCATTAACTAGGTAGTGTTCGCTAAGATCAAAATTCGACCGTCATCAATTTTTATTGAAAAATTAGAGGATGTGATATTTTCCCGCAGTAAAAAGTATCCTATATGTTGACCCGAATAATTAGCTATCACCATGTCAAATTTCTTCAAAATCCCTCCAGTAGTTTTTCTGTGATGCGTTAACAGACAGACGGGCACAAAAAATCTAAAAACTATACATTCGGTCTCTGTATCGATAATATCTATTTCAATAAAATTTTAAAAAATATATTTAATGTACAGATTCGGCTTAGTTACAATTTTATTACATATAGATATAGATAGATTTCTTCTTGTCGTCTCTATTCCTATGCGTTAGATGAATTCTTATCTAAAAGAGTATTTGATTGATTTTTAAATACGTATGTGTAAAGAGTTAATCGGTGGCGTTAATGTTTGAATGTTTACGATCTTTTATTGACCGACTTTGAAAAGGAGAAGTTATTCGATTGTTTGTATACTTTTTTGTGGATGTTATGAGATATCTACGCTAGACTGAATTAGTTTTATTGAACAGACCTCAATTGAATACGACATTATGGTTGTATATTTTCAAAAGGATGCTTCACCATTAAGTGGAAACAGTGATTTTGATATGAATTTTAATAAACTAATTACATGTAAATATGAATGGATATTTAGATTTTTAAATAATACCTAGGACTAAATTTATTTTTTCTCTCTTTCTAGACATATTCGGGGCTCTTCTGCGTGGTGGTGAACCCGTACAAGAAGCTCCCGATCTACACGGAGAAGATCATGGAAAGATACAAAGGCATCAAGCGACACGAAGTACCACCGCATGTATTCGCTATCACGGACACGGCGTACCGCTCTATGTTACAAGGTAAAGTACAATGTTTGTTGAGTTTTTTTTCTTGATAACATTAAAGCTTGTCAATAGATACTAAAAGAAAAAAAATCCGAGGAAAAAAATACTTAAAAAAAAAGAAAATCGGTTGACAAACAGAGAAGAAAAATGTACTGAACTGTTTTGTCTTTGTCTATTTACATATCTTTACATATAATAAAATTGTAACTAAGCTGAATCTGTACATTAAATATTTTTTGGAAAATCTTATTGAAATAGACATTATTATCGAACAGAGGCCGAATTTATAGTTTTTAGAATTTTTGTCTGTCTGTCTGTTACCGCATCACGGAAAAACCACTCGGTGGATTTTGATGAAATTTGGTATGATGATAGCTGGTTATCTGGGTCAACATATAGGATACTTTTTACCGCCGGAAAATATCTCATTTCTGAGAAAAAATACAAAAACTGCATTGTAAGAGTATACTAATATGTAAATTGTAAAACCTAAGAATTTAGTTTTTGGTCATTTGAACGCGGGCGGGCGAGCCGCAAGAAATGGTAGTATGTGTATATTTTTCTTGATTTTATTATCATGTATATAAATTATTGTTCATAGTAAACTCTTTGCATTATTAATGCAAAGATAATGTTCAACAACTCTGATATAACTTGACTTTACTGTTATTACGCTAATAATAATAATCAAGTACATTGTTGAAATCTAGGCTAAAGCATACCTTAGTACTAGAATGCATATTGAAACATGCTCAGACTAATTTTCCTTATGTAAAGTTTGAAGCATTTTTGCCTTTTGAATATGAATATAGAGGGTAAGTAAGAGGGTAATAATGGAGTTTTAGTTCGTAGAAGTTATTAAAGTATTGTGCTTTGTGAGGAAAACTTTACGAAATTTTCAGAAGTTTTAACAGGAGTCTCGTTTGTAAACTTATTTTGACCCAATTCGTATGTAGACTAACAATATTATGTAATGATTTAAATTTACTCCAAAGAAAATAATATAAATATAAAATTATAGTTGTGTTTGGAAATTATTTTTGCTTACTCGTGAAGCGACTTTCATTCAGAAAAGAAGATAAAAGATTACTTTTTGAAATAGATTCATATCCCGCAGGATCAACTTCTTGTATTGGGATAAAAAGTTTATAACATGTACAATTGTACATACATATGTATATGTGACATACATACTCCACTTCCCCTACATTATATAATGATAAAATCTCGTCTTTTTTATTAAAGTATGAAGAAAGAAATGATTTTATCATATAAATAAACACATTTTCGCATTTATAATATTACTAGCGTTTCTCCACTCCCGTAATTTACTTATGTATATTTACGTATATATAAAAACTAGCTAAGCTTGTTTGTATCCATGTTTGTATGAGTCAAATTAAATTTTAAAGCAGTTATCCTCAACCGATTACATTGAAATTTTGCATACACGTTTAGTTTGGATAACAATGCATGATTAGCTAAGTGACGTAATTCTAAACTCAATATGGTGGACTCCCAAAGATGGCGGAATGTGATTTTTTAAGCACCCCGTGATATGGATATCAAATGAAAAGGTTTGCTAAGAAGAATACGAATAAATAACTAAAATAAATTTTAAATTAAACCAAACCCATCAATTTATTACACTACACAATTTATGTGATACTAGCGACTCACCCTCGCTTCGTTTGGGTTCGGTCGGCGCTAGACTGCTTTCCCATACAGACTTTTATCCCCAGTTTCATCCCCTTAAGGGATGATTTCTAGGATAAAAACTATGAATATCCTATGTCCTTCCCAGGGTCTTAAACTATCTTCTTACCAAATTTCATCTAAATCGGTTCAGTATATTCAGAGATTACCCCCTACAACCTCACAAACCCACAAACTTATTTATCTCTTTATAAAATTAGTAGGTATAGATAAAAAAATGTTTTTAAAAATGTTTTTTGATATTAATTTATTTTCATTGTTTTCATAATTATGTTGTTATTAACGAGGATAAATAGTTAAAATGAAGTTTCTCATGTCTATATAAGAAGTTGAAGTAGTTCGTAAGAAGTTAGAGCATTTTGTTAATAAGGGCCACGTATCAGCTGCATCTGTTTGCATGAAATTAGTAAGCAGGCCACAACTTCCTACATCTCAGTTAATCCACGACCGGAGATAAACACTGGGCGTCTCCACTTAGCGATAGTGATGTGCTTTGTGGATATCATTTGTATTTAATATTCGTTAATCGTTATTTTATTATATGATATTCATTATATTATTATATTGTTTTTAATGATTATAAAACAATATTATTATAAAATGTATGTTATTATTGGTTAAACATGATACATATGTACATACAATTTCATTTTATTATTATATATGACCTAATACCTTTTCATTTATTAATTATCTATAGTAAACGTCCATTTTTCAGAATAACTTGGAACTTGTATAGAAAATAGTAATTAGCAAATATTTGTTCATTTATTTTATTATAACTAGCGACATAACCTCGTTTCGCTCGGGTGCTCGGATTTGGTTTACAATTTTATGAGTTTTAATTTTTTTGAGCGGGACTCTTTAATTGTTTTTCTAAAATAAAAGTAACCTAAGTTACTCCTTATAATATCAGCTATCTGCCAATGTAAAGTCCCATCATAATCGGTCCAACTGTTTTGAAGGTTAGCAGGAACAAACAGACAAACAAAAAGAATGTTTTTTTATAAGTACCGTATATACTTACGACCTACCCTCGCTTCAGTCGTGTAGCCTATGTGTTATTCTATGTTATAGTCTATCAATCCAATCCAAATCGGTCCAGCCATTTGACACACGAACATTCGCAATTATCATAGTATTTGTTAATTATAGTAATACTAGCAGAACCCGCGGCTTGGCTCGCGCTAAAACTTCAAAGGCACTGTAAAAAGAGGTTTCATGCAAACTTTAATGTACTATTTTACCCCCTTATGGGATGAGTTTCGAAAAATGCTAAAACAAGTATTTATTTTATTGTATTGAAGAACATTAGTACCAAGTTTCAAGTAATACTGATCATAAATAATATTTTGGGTTGTATTATTATAACGTGTTTTCCCGTGGGAATGAGATATTCTTCCGCGGTAAAAGGTAGCCTGTGTCACTCTCCGGCCTTCCAACTATCTCCACACAAAAAATCACGCCAATAAGTAATTCCGTTTTGACGTGAACAAAGGACAGACAAACAAACACTTCCACATTTATAATATTAGTATGGATTTAACCTCAAAATAATTATATCATGTAAGGGTTTTTATTTGGGGTCAATAGGATTATAAAAAGATAAAAATACAATTAAAGACATCAAATTAAGTTGTTGCGCATTCAAATGTACAATAATTGCGATACATCGATAACAGACGTGTTTAGGTATAGCCTTTCTCTAGTCTTAATCTGTATTAAATAGTATAAAACTAAGTCTATATATGTATGTCTGTTTGTTTGTGCTCTTAGTTCTTCTAAACTATACTCGTATAACGGATTTTGATGTGGTTTTAACTATCATGTAGGGAATTTCTTTTGGAAGATTTCTATGTATAATACATTCATATTATGTTTTTTAAAAAATAAGTAAACATCGATGTTTTGTTATCAAGTCGTTTATTAAAATTGATAATAATTAAAATTTGTTACAGATAAGATTTTTATGATGATCACATTCTCGTATAAAAATAATAATAATAAAATAAGAAATAATTTTATCGAGATATATAAAGGCACGTCATTAGTTAACGATAAGCGTGAACAACAAGTTGTGAGGCTATTTGTCTAATTGTCCACTAATGGCGCTGGCGCACCGATAGGGGAGTGTTCTACCTTCGCTGAGCCCCTTTTACGACTACAAAATGAAATATGTTCACTGTTTTAAACTTCACAACTGAAGTTATTTTGACGACACGTTTGGCTCAGTTGGTAGTGACCTTACTTGCTGTGCCAGCGGTCGCGGGTTCGAGTCCCGCTGGGGGCATTCGTTTGTGTGATGAGCATGAATGTTTGTACTCCAGTCATGGGTGCTTATATTTATAATATGTATGTATTTGAAGTTATATATGTGTAGTGTATCAACTATCTGGTATCCATAACACTAGCCTCGTAGCTTACCATGGAACTAGATGGCGCTGTGTGTTAATGTCCCAACATTTATTTATTTATTTATTTATTATTATTATTATTATTTAAAGCTAATATTATTTAGAAAAAACGGTTACCTTTTTTACTGTAGCAGAAGGCAGTGCAAGTGAAGGGGATTCAAATCTCAGATCCCGGGTCTTGCATCTCTGATATTTTCATGTGCGAATCATTTCGAACATTATTATCGCTTGTCTTACGGTGAAGGAAAATATTGTGAGGAAACCTTTATGGCTGAGAGAACCTTGCAGGTTTTTCGAAAGATGGAAAGTCCGCCAACCCGCACTTGGCCAGCGTGGTGGACTATGGCCTGATCCCCCTCGTATTGAAGGGAGGCCCACGCCCAGCAGTGGGACGTTAAAAAAGACTGAATACATACTACAGCATCGATTAGTTTTGCTACTTTTTAAAAGAATTGTGAGCTCTGTGGAAAGCAATCAAAGGACTGTTAGCGTGCCATCCTATTCTTCTATTGTATCTTTCACTTCTTCCATGAGTCATTATTTGCGGGGAAATAAGTTAGCTGTGGAAAATGTAAGGGAATATCTTTCAATAGAAAATGTTTTTTTTTGTTAGTTGATAGTACTAAAATGGCTAAGAATTAAAATAGGTTGTGTGATATCCATATTTCTATACTTTCCATACTTAGTATTATAAACGTGAATGTGTGTTTGTTTGTTTGTTTACTTGTTTGTCCTTCTTTCACGTCGAAACGGAGTTATGGATTGGCGTGATTTTTTGTATGAAGATTTTTTGTATAGGGCTGGAGAATAACATAGGCTTACTCTTTACCGCGGGAGATTATCTAACTTCAACGGGATAATTTTATAATACAATCCAAAAAAAATATTATCAGAATTTCTTGAAACTTGGTATTAATGCTCAATACAATTAAATAAATATAAAACATATTTTTCGAAATACATCCTATAAGGGGGTAAAATAGGGGTCAGCAGCATCTATACTAATATTATAAATGTGAAAGTTTGTGAGTATGGATGTATGTTTGTTACTCTTTTACACAAAAATTACTGAATGGATTTTAACGAAACTTTACAATAATATACTCGTAGCTCATACATCAGAATAACACATAGACTACTTTTTATTCCGGAAAAATGTATGGTTCCCATGCAATAGATTTGTTTTAGTTTTATTAATTTAGTTTAGTTTAGTTTTATTAATATTTAATAATAATATATAGCATATTTTATCTAATAAGCTATATGATTTTTTTTCAGACCGTGAGGATCAATCAATTTTGTGTACGGGAGAGTCCGGCGCTGGTAAAACGGAGAATACGAAGAAAGTTATACAATATTTAGCGTACGTCGCAGCATCTAAACCTAAAGGCTCTGGCGCGGTAAGTGAAGTTCCTTATAATATTAGAATTAAAATTGTTTAGTATTAGAATTGTTATTTTTCTGTCTTCTTTCGATAGATTTTGTGGTATAATTTAGTTTGATTAGTTAACTTCAGTTTTATTTTACTTAATTGATTTTGTTCATTTATTTTATTTACTAGTATTTATTATAGTTTTATTTTATTTATTTTATTAATAAAAATAAATAAATAAAAAACTTTCAATTTTAAGTTTGACTCCTTTGTTATTTTTCTAAAGCGTATCAATCTTTACTGGTTTGATTATCGGATTCGGGTAAGAATTATTATGGCTGACACACATCATCCATCAATGACTAAGATGTAGTTTTTGCTATAATAAAAAATAATAATCATTAAATGAAATTTGTAATGTTTTATTTTATCGATTTCGTCATCATTTGTTTTATGTAGGTCATGTCATTTTTGCTAGAATACGTGTTTGACCTCGTATTTTTAGTGTTTGCTTATAAGGAAAATAATACGCAATGGTTGACACAATTCCTGATATTCGTGCTAATGCGTAATAATTTATATAAAAATGTCGAAGAATTAGAATGTTATTGTGGATAGTGGAAGCTAATAAAAATAGGTGAATTCTTAATAATCTAGGCTTATTTTAACACTTTTAGACAACCTAAAACACTCTTAAGGGGGCACTGAGGCAATTACGACATAGTTGCGTTCGTTTGATCTCTTGCTGTATTGTTATTAATTTAAAACTTTAATTATGCATATATTATATATAACTTTAATTATACATATTATAAAATATGTAGGATATATATCTCTAAAAAACAAAATGAACACTCAGTGCGGCGTAAATAATTCAAGAAAGTTCATAAGGTTGTTAATAATAACAAAACTATACGTTTTCTATAACGTATACACTTTACATTTTCAAAATGTGTATTTGTTATAATAATACGATTGAAATACCTAAATTTGCACGCGTTCCGTCCATGCTAGCCACAACCCCTCTGCCCGCTGTCGTCCTACTAAAATAAAAAGCTTGGTGGTTGGTTAGTAGTTATGTCAGATTACTAGATTTATTTACTTAGTCAAAAAGCAGTATTAAATAGATTTGGGTACCAAATATGCTTATGATCAATACAAACATTAGTTTCGCTCGAATTAAACCCACGATGTCCATCTTACAATGCAAAGCTTGTCATGTACCTACCTATATGCTCTACGCCACAACAATCGTCGATGGAATTTTAATATCGCTTCTAAGTAGGCAATGTACACTTATATGGAATAAAGATAGCCTTGTTTGGTAATAGATGTCTTCGTAAAACATTTTCTATCTTTAATTAAATACCGTTTTATTTTATACCCAATAAAATGTTAATATTGTGCATATTAATTAAGTTCATAGTGTGACTTTATATTCGGTTTTTGTTTTCTACCGACTTCCAATAAGGAGGAGCTTTTCAACTTGTCGGAATCTTTTTTCTTTTTTTTTTAATGAACAATGGTCAAAGATTTGACATTCATTGGCTCTCACTAGGCTATATTATATATTTATATGGATCACATGAGCAGGCATAGAACACCCAACCTTCGACATAAAGTGGTATGCTCTACGAGTCTACGCCATACGGCACTGTATTAACCATATAGTTAGTAAAATTCGTTATAGATACGATGGTGATACTTTTGTTTAACTTTCAACTATCTTCCACTCCTTTAAAGCGGCTGTGGCTATATAATGTGTAAGCACTCGCACTTGCATGAAATGGTATCCACAACGATAAGTAGAGTGCGTTATTAGACATTTTTTAAAGGTTTTTTGTTAGGTTGGTTCCCCATACAAAATTTCATCCCTATTTTCACCACCATAAGGCATGATTTCCGGGATAAAAACTATCCTATGTCATTTCCAGGGTCTCAAACTATATTCTTACCAAATTTCATCTAAATTAATTCAGTAGTTTCGGAGCCTATCCAGTACAAACAAACAAATAAACAAAAAATCAAATCTTTCCTCTTTATAATATTAGTAGTTAGTATAGATAGTATAGATTATAATTATAAAAATGTTATAAAAGTCTAAACCTAAAATAAGTCGCAAAATTTTGTGTATAATTGAATAATTTCAAATCAAACCATTATATACGTATATGTATGTATATGTTCATATTCTTCAGTCGCCGTATATCTTGACACGCTTAACAAGTAAGACGATAGAAATCTGTCTCTAATAACTTTTAAATTTTAATTACCTATGAAATATATGTATACTATATGTACGGAAAAAAATCTGTATTAAAATTATGCAAATAGGTGTGTCGACTCCATTTTCTTTCTTACGGTTAAAGTATAGGAATAAGTCATAAAATAGCTAATAAAACTGTATTTATGTAGGTATTGATTTCCTTTTAACATCGTGTTATAAAATCTTTTATAAATCTTAATATTTAAAATTCTCCTGTCACGATGTTGATACGGGATGAACTCGAAAGTACATATCCGAACTTAACTTTTTTTAAATATGTGATTTGTTCCAACTTAAAAGATAGGATAGTTGTTATCCCGATTATTTCTTTTTTTTATTGCAAAATTAACGCTTTTCATATGGATCCCGGAGAGAGAACCTAACAAACGCCCCTAAGCTACAAATTCTTCCCTCAAGCTAAAGAAAAAAAAAATTATAAGTGTGCCATAGCAACACGTGGCGGGATCTGCTAGTATAGACTAGGCTTGACATTTTTTTCTTTCTTTGTTTCTTTATACCGAATAGACTCCGAAACTACTGAATCGGTTTCGATGAAATTTGGTAAGAAGAAAGTTTGAGACCCTGGGAAGGACATAGGATAGTTTTTTATCCCGGAAATCATAGTTTAAGGGGTTGAAAATGGGGATGACAGTTTTATGGGGATTTCCCGCTAGCCTTCCAGTCAAATATAAAACGCTAATAACGCACAATACGTCATAACATATAAGTGTTTGAGGTACACCGTATATACAAAACGTTATCATGTGGCTTTAATAGTTTATTGAAACATTCCTACCACTTAATTGGTCGAGCCGTATGTTACTATAAAAACTTAGAAGGGAATGCCATTTTTCCACGCCATTGTATATAGATTATTTAATTACTCAATTGCCTATAAGTTATTTTTAAAGAAATATTAATGTCTTTTTATACGTTTTTGCAAAGTTTAATATGCACTGTGCATGTAGATTGACGTTAGCATTATATGTTTTGATTGCAATATGAGTTAATCTAATTGCTCCAGCCTCCCTATCTTGGGTTCGACACCCGTGTAAGGCCACTCGCATATTTCAATCGCCTTGTATTTATATACAAATGTATATTTAATTACTCAATAGGTTATAATTTTTATTTTATAGATTTTTTGTTCACTGTGCGTTTTCATTGGTTTATGTCAGAGTTTGTTTATGTGAAAATATTAGATTCCATATGGGGCGACTGTTTGTATCAATAACAGAAATATGATTCGAATTGGCTAAATAATTTTTAATATATATTTAGCTTTATTATAATTTTTAAAATTTGACATATTAAAAGAAATGACGATATGCATGGATAATTTATAAGCTATAAATAACTCAAAATCTTAATATGTGCACTTATAATATTAAGTATATAAATAATACTATAAAATCGGATGATCTTATACACTGCCATATGTTTCTATAAGAAAATAATTTTGACTTGGAAAATGCGAAGGAAAGAGTATTAAGTAGCATTACGTCCATGTAGTCAGGGTTTCCCAACCTTTCTTCTCTTGGGCTATTGTAGAGGATTATAAAAAATATTTTCGTGCGCCCCTTTATTATTTTTTTGTTATAATAAAACATTATTTTAACGATTTTTATTTATTTTAATTTATACAAAATAAACTCTCTCTACGCCCCCCTGGTTGGGAACTCCTGATGTATGTAGAATAATTAAAAACCCGACAGTTTTATTCATTCAAAATGTCGTCATTCGGAGTCGTGTGTGAGTTGACCTTTGATTAATTAATGTGGAAACCCTTCTCAAGTTTTTAAGATATCGCACATAAAAACACATGTATAAACATGCAAATCAAACACATTACCCTTCTTTCTGGCTTTGTTGATGTCACATCATTGCATTAAGAGAAAATCCTTAATATTACATAAGTCACATGATAATGTATATTTACGTCTATATTTATCACCGTGTTTCACTTAAAAGCACACTTTGTAATATATTTTCTTTCCATTTTTCTATCTTCTGCGCGACCCGGGATCGAAATACAACAGGGACCTTCACCGCAACTGATAATAGTAAGTGAACATAAATACATTGATCATACATTTTTATATATATATTTTTGACATTTTTTGTTCATAAAAATTGGTTTCGGTATACGGAATATGTATATTGTATATATTCGTAGAATATTTATTTCTGATTCAATGTTTTCTTGCTTGATGTTTTTATTTTTGTTTTGTTTTTTTTTTTATAAAATAATTGTGACCGTTTTGTTGTAATTAGTGTGCGTTGTTTTATTTTGTTATTTAATTTTTAAAGGTATTTATTATTTATGTACATATATATAATATATTATATATAAATATATTCATAAATGTAACCGTATGTGAGATGGCGCCTAGTTTAACAAAGCTTCCAATAGTCTAATGCAAATAACTTAAATATTAGTTAAAAGTTAAGTTTTTTTTCATATAAAAGCTAAGAGTGTGTGCTTAAACGGTAGTATTTGCTTTTTCGTTTATTATATTCAGTATATAATGTTCATTTACTAAATTCGATCATTCAATTACACGCTGCTACCGCTAACAGACTAATGGACCGACTTTTGAGGTAAATGCTTTGCTCAAAACATTGCGCCATAAATCATCACTAGTATCTTATAATTTTCTTTAAATTTCATTTATAAACCATAAAAAGTGGGGTTTAGTTTTTTTTGTTATTCAGTATTTATATGATAAACAATGTTTACAGGGTGAACTAGAACAACAGTTGCTTCAAGCCAATCCGATCTTAGAAGCCTTCGGTAACGCTAAGACAGTCAAAAACGACAACTCTTCTCGATTTGTAAGTAGTATTTATAATTATAATAAACAAACTTGAATCTTTTAAGGGATCTCTACGTGTTGGTCATTTGTCTGCACGCAAGCCTTTTAAAGGACCAGGGTCTAGTCCGTGAAATCCTAGGAGATAATAATAATAAAATAATTATATAAATATCTGTTATTTTCATTTCTAAACATATCTTCTACTTTTAGGGTAAATTCATAAGAATTAACTTCGACGCATCTGGATTCATAGCAGGCGCGAATATCGAAACGTACTTACTAGAAAAATCTAGAGCGATTAGACAAGCGAAGGATGAGAGGACCTTCCACATCTTCTACCAACTGCTGTCTGGAGCCACAACACAGCAGAAAGCAGAATATATCCTCGAAGACCCAAAGAGTTATCCATTCCTCACAAACGCTGCACTTCCGGTGCCAGGGATTGATGATGCAGCCGAATTCCAGGCTACCATCAAGTCCATGAATATCATGGGCATGAATAATGAGGATTTCAATTCGATATTTAGAATAGTGTCGGCTGTCCTACTGTTCGGTTCGATGCAATTCAAGCAGGAGAGGAACTCGGACCAGGCCACATTGCCTGATAATACAGTCGCTCAGAAAATTGCTCATTTGCTTGGTAAGATAACTTATAATGTATTTTATATTTTTATATATATTTTAAAAATATTTTTTCTTTGTCATTCTATTATGTAAAAATCGACGCGCGATGTAGATGGCCATGAGCATCTAGATAATTTTAGGCTATTTTTTTATTTCATAATAAAAAAAAAAAAATTATATGGGTCCATATGTGGAATAAGTTATTAATAAAAACAAACCTAGAGCCAAATTAGAATATCTTCTGTTTTTTAAGTCGGTCAATAGAATAATATATTTGTCAATGACTGGATGACAAATTGTCTTACATTATAACATAATATTCTGTTTGTCTTTTCCAGGTCTTTCTGTAACAGAAATGACTAAAGCTTTCCTGAAACCAAGAATAAAGGTCGGCCGCGATTTCGTCACTAAAGCACAAACTAAAGAACAAGTGGAGTTCTCAGTAGAAGCCATTGGTAAGGCGTGCTACGAACGACTGTTCAGATGGTTGGTGAACAGAATTAACAGATCTTTGGACAGAACAAAGAGACAAGGAGCGTCATTCATCGGTATCCTCGATATGGCCGGTTTTGAAATCTTCGAACTCAACTCCTTTGAACAGCTCTGCATCAATTACACAAACGAGAAGCTTCAGCAACTTTTCAATCACACTATGTTCATCCTTGAACAAGAAGAGTACCAGAGAGAAGGTATCGAGTGGAAATTCATCGATTTCGGTTTAGACTTGCAACCGACTATCGATTTGATCGATAAACCTATGGGTATCATGGCTCTATTGGACGAAGAATGTTGGTTCCCTAAAGCCACTGACAAAACTTTCGTAGAGAAGCTCGTACAGTCTCACTCGGTACATCCTAAGTTCATGAAGACTGATTTCCGTGGTATTGCCGACTTTGCAATAATACATTACGCTGGTAAAGTCGATTATTCTGCAGCACAATGGCTGATGAAGAACATGGATCCCCTCAACGAGAACGTTGTGTCGTGTCTCCAATCATCACAAGATCCGTTCGTGTGTCATATTTGGAAAGACGCCGAAATAGTGGGCATGGCCCAGCAGGCCTTGACTGATACACAGTTCGGAGCAAGGACCAGAAAGGGCATGTTCAGAACAGTCTCCCAATTATACAAGGAACAGTTGACCAAACTCATGGCGACCTTGAGGAACACCAATCCCAACTTCGTCAGGTGTATCATACCCAATCACGAGAAGAAGGCCGGAAAGATTGAAGCGCCGTTGGTATTGGACCAGCTCAGGTGTAATGGTGTGCTCGAGGGTATCAGAATCTGTCGCCAGGGCTTCCCCAACAGGATTCCCTTCCAGGAATTCAGGCAACGTTATGAGCTTCTCACACCAAATATCATTCCTAAAGGCTTCATGGATGGTAAAAAAGCGTGCGAGCAAATGATTGAAGCCCTGGAACTTGACAACAACTTGTATCGTGTTGGGCAGTCGAAGATCTTCTTCAGGGCTGGTGTTCTGGCGCATCTTGAAGAGGAGCGGGATTACAAGATCACAGACTTGATCGTGAACTTCCAAGCCTTCTGCCGCGGGTACCTGGCGAGGAGGAACTATCAGAAGAGGTTGCAGCAGTTGAATGCAATACGGATTATCCAAAGGAACTGTGCTGCGTATCTCAAGCTTAGGAATTGGCAATGGTGGAGGTTGTATATAAAGGTCAGTTTATATCTTTTTACTATTTAAACACATATATACATACATGTCTAATTTATTTACGGCTTATACGTACATTTTGTACGTACATGATATGATTCGCGCGCCAACTATGGTACATTGATGGTACTACGGTAGAAACTTTGGCACTAAAGTTTCATCATAATTGGATAGATAGTTTAGTTATATAAATACACATTACACATATGTTTAAAACAGACAGACAGGCACACGTTAATTTTGAATTGAATTGTTATATTCGTGACTCAACCGCATACCCAACGACTTACAAGGCTACGATCGTATAAATACTTACATAATATTGTTTTATAATAAGGGTTTTGATGTCATATGAATAATTACGTGTTTTGAAAACATTCCAGTATATTATATTGAATTGTTATAACTAGAAATTACAAAGATGCGTATAATATGTTATTCACATTTGCTTCACAATGTGCATACTTGGCTTTGTTTTATGGAATGCTGGCCAAGTATGAGACGGAATATATTTTCAATTTATTACGTTTATTATAAGTAATAAAAATATATTATGTTCTACAAAATTTAGGCATTATTTGATATAGAATTAGAATTTTTTTATAGTTTATTCATTTGTTATAATGAAAAAGTAAAACCAAATATGTTATTAAGAGGATTATAATACAATTTTATATACTGTTTACAATGACAAAAGAAATTAAGTTAAGGATTTTAAATTTTTTAAAATAACTAGGTGAACTTGACTATATAGCACAACTTTTTTTTTATAATATATCCTTATTAATTATGATCTTACTAATTTTATAACGCTTTGTTATCTGCACTATGCGTTAAATCAAACAATATCTATCTACTCGATGTAGCTAAAATTGACCAAAATAAAATAATTTCCAGGTGAAACCTCTATTAGAAGTGACGAAGCAAGAAGAGAAGCTGACGCAGAAGGAAGACGAGCTTCGTCAGATACGAGAGAGATTGGACACACAGATGAAGAGATGCCAAGAGTACGAGGCCAAATACCAACAGGCTAGCGCAGAGAAGACCCAGCTTGCGGAACAATTACAGGTTAGTTCAATGTATCTAGTTTAATGTAATTGTAATAATATATTTTTAATATGTATACAGATAATATACTTCCTTTTCTCCTATTCTAGTACTCTTCTTTGGTACTTTTTTCCATGGAATAAAAATTATCGCGAGATTTATTTGTATGTACCCGGCATAAAAAGTAGTATATATATATATATATTAATTTTCGCTTTAAAACAATGTAAAAACACTTTTGACTATATACTATAGACTATACGGAACTCGTCAAAATTAATAAAATGAGTCCAAATTCGAAAATTTGACTCAGCCATTAAAGAGTTCTGTTAACCACTTTCTGGCTTTATCAGATTAGCTCATTATATAGATTTCACATTAAAAGCTTCAAATTGATACGGCAATAGTAGGGTCCAACTTTATAAATTTCAATAATATTATTGGTTTAAATATAATTTTGTTACTGAACAAATCATTTTCAAGTTTCTTTTTCATTAATATAAACTTAGCAAGTTCTTGCGGCTTCGCTTGCGTTCACACTTCCAATCGCTACCTAACTTCACAAGTTCACCCTAATCTGCAGATTGCCAGAAAATTTCATCAAAATCGCTCCAGCGGTTTTGGAGTCCATAGGGAACATACATACACACATCGATTTTTATATATAGATTTTTACTGAAGCAAATTGTACGGATTTTAATAAAACTAATTTTCCATCCAACAGGCGGAACTGGAGCTTTGCGCTGAAGCAGAAGAAAGCCGCGCCCGCGCAGCCGCCAGGAAGCAGGAACTGGAGGAACTGCTCCATGACCTCGAGGGTCGTATCGAGGAGGAGGAGGAGCGCTGTAACGCGCTGCAGCAGGAGAAGAAGAGGCTGCAGCTCAATATACAGGTGGGTTGGGGGTTTGGTGGGGGTTGGTGTAATTTTTTTGACTTGTTAAAGTATATGGATCATTTTTCGTTTTTAATATATATCGTTAAATTGGCATAACGTGATATTGGTAATTAAAAGTTTGGGAGAGAGAGAGAAAGTAGAGAATGAGAGTTCTACCTAGAGCTCTCCTATTTAGGAACTCGACACATACTTGCCATATAAAGTGTTTGTTGTAATAGCTATGGTCACATCATGTATGTAATCATAGATAAATCCCTTCTTCTTAGTAAAAGTCTTAAAGATAGAAATTAATTTTAATTTATAATATAATTAAATAATGAATATGTTGGGACATTAACACACAGCGCCATCTAGTTTCATGGTAAGCTTCGAGGCTTATGTTATGGTTATATAGAACTTTAAATACATACACATTATAAATATAAAGACTCATGACTGGAGTACTCATATTCGTGCTCATCCCACTAATGAATGCCCCCAGCGGGAGTCAAATCCACGATCGCTGGCACAGCAAGTTGTGCTACTACAAACTGAGCCAAACGTGTCGTCAAATTTGTCAAAAAAAAAAACATTTCTCATGTATGTAATTTTTTAGTTCAAATAATAACCATTTTGTTTTCTTCTAGGACTTGGAAGAGCAATTAGAGGAAGAAGAAGCCGCTCGTCAAAAGCTACAACTCGAACGCGTGCAATGTGACTCCAAATTAAAGAAATTGGAAGAAGATCTCGCTCTAAGTGAAGATACGAATCAGAAGCTTCTTAAGGAGAAAAAGGTTTGCTTATTTATTAAGGATAGTATTTATATGTATAGTTTTTTTCTAGAATATTCGAGTTGGCTTATTATTTTCATACATAATCGTAATATTGATATATAGGTATTTTTTATTTATTTATGAGCAAAGCGTTATTCCGTCGAGAATATTTTGCTAATGCAAATGTGTGGATATTAACCATTATTTGATACTCACTCAGGATAAGAACATAATAATTATTGTATTGATATATTGTTATTTTTTTATTATATTTAAAAAGAGCAATTGTTGAGTTCCTTATTGGCGCTTCTCAGCAGATCTGGCACTGATATTTAATTTTAATTTAAAATGTAAAACTGACAATTCAAAAGTATATTTGAATGAAGTATATTTTGATTTGATTTAATTAATTGTTTTGATCGAGAAGTTAACACCTATTATATTTTTTTTAATTAGTTCCATTTCCATTTAGTATGCATGTATTTTATGCCATACTTTATGTAAGTGCTAGAGATAAATAGAGAACATAACAGTATGTTGCAAGACTGTATACAAATCTCAGTTATTTTTAAATTTACATAGTCCAATGATTTAAAACTATAATTGTGCTTCTCTTTTTTTCCTATATAAATTTAACTCAAACGTTTGAACAGATTTTTTAGATATATTTTATTTAAATTTTATGTAGTTACGAGTATATAGGGAGCCATCCAAGTTGTACAAGGAATGAATATATATTTAAATACAATTTATTTTTAAATCAACTTAGGCTGTCATAGAAAATGTTATATTACATACAAATATTTTTTAATTATAGATATTAGAAGAGCGTGCGAATGATCTGTCTCAAGGCTTGGCAGAGGAAGAGGAGAAAGCCAAGCACTTGAGCAAATTGAAGGCGAAACAAGAGTCCGCTATCGCTGAGCTAGAAGAGAAGTTACTCAAGGTATTGTAAATATTAATTAATACCCGTTAACGCATTAGTGTTATGGAAAATGATGCCTCGAACTCAAAAAACCCAACATATTTGAGTCTTGAGTTAATTATATATTAAGGAATTTTGTTAGTTCATATTTGTGTGTAACTAGAGATCGCTTTTTGATCAAATATGGATCAATAAGATTGAATAATTTTCTTACAGAAAGATTTTATGAAACAGCCCGTATTTAATATAAAGTCTGAAGTATAATGTTACCATAAAAATAAATGTTTATTCAAGAATAAAAACATACCATGAATAAACAGTTATATTAAATTTAAATAAATCGTATGTTATAACTAAATTCTCGTCCAGGATCACCAACTGCGACAAGAGGCGGACCGCGCCAAGAGGAAGCTGGAGACGGAGCTGCAGGATGTGAAGGAGCAGCTCTCCGAGAGGAAGACCCAGGTGGACGAGATGCAGATTGTTTTGAGTGAGTTCTAGAGAGTTATATTGAGTTCAAGGAACTGTGTATTTTATCGCATTTGAATGCTAAGTATTCAATATATATAACTTAAGAATTATAAACTAAAATATTTGTTTAAATATAATTAGTAATATTTATTTTGTTTGTTTAAAGTGAAATTTGACTTAAATTTCAATAAAAAGTGATTTTCATTTGTAATAATAAAGAATTAATAAAATTTATTTGTGATGTATCTATCACTATCTCAGATTAGTAACGTTTTTATTTCGGATTTTTATGTTTCCGAAATTTGGACTGTTTTTTTTTTTTGAATACTTGTGTCTCTTTTTCTGGTTATATATTCCACATTGTTTTGGGGTCAGCCTTTCTCATTATTTTTCCAATTCTGTCTAATCGGAGACACTCTTACACGTCAGTGAGTGAGTTTTGCCCGGACTGTGGTCTGATCTCTTTTGTAGTAAAAGGCTAAATATATACGTACACACGTTGTTCACTGTGTATGTTATTTCGGTCAATGGATGATTATTAAATTATTATTATATGATGATGTGCAGGCAAGCGCGAGGAGGAGCTGGCGATGGCGATGCAGCGCGTGGACGAGGAGGCGGCGGGGCGCGCGGCGGCGCAGAAGGCGGCGCGCGAGGCGGAGGCGGCGCTGGCGGAGGCGCACGAGGACCTGGAGGTGGAGCGCGCCGCGCGCACCAAGGCCGAGAAGCTGCGCCGCGACCTCAACGAGGAGCTCGAGGCGCTCAAGAGCGAGCTGCTCGACTCGCTCGACACCACTGCTGGTGTGTATATGGAATATTTTTTTTCTTTTTTTTTCCTTTTTGATTTATTATGAACTGAATGAGGTGTTGGAGACGTTCAAAAGTGAGCTGGTTGGTACCATAATTCTCGTAGTAAAATATTGGGCATCACTCTTACACGCATTACTTAACATAATGTACCCCGAGTCTCGATATCTTTCTGCATTGCAAATATAGCAATATTAAAAGATAAATTAGCCTAAACCTTAAAAATATATTTCTTATACATTTCTTCTGCACTCTAATATATATATATATATATATATATATATATATATATATATATATATATATATATAAAAATAAAAAAAAATAAAAAATACCACAATTTATTTCAATTTCCACTATAACTTATCAATTCCAGCTCAACAAGAGCTTCGGTCCAAGCGTGAGCAAGAAGTAGCAGTTCTGAAGCGCAGTCTGGAGGAGGAGGCGTCTTCCCACGAGTCGGCGCTGGCGGACCAGCGGCACAAACACTCCCAGGAGCTGCAACTCCTCAACGAGCAGCATGATCAGCTCAAGAAGGCTAAAGCTGGTGAGTTGGAATCCCACGGGATTTTGGGGATTGGTGTTCGATATTGTTTTGTGTAAATGAGGACAAAAGCAGAAAGTGACAGCGTTATCAGGAAAGGCAAAAGAACAGAAAGTTTACAAAATAACCACTTTTTTTAATTTACTTTAGATATTGTGTAATATAAAATTACTAATAATTTCCGAAACGTACAAACTGAACTAAATTAATTTTCATGTTTAGTTAGTTGATAGTCTATAAATATTTTGATCCTTTTTAAGCAACACTGAATACTGGCATGTAATAAAAATACACATTCTAAATTCAAAACTCTTAAATATTTGCTGCCAACGTAGTGACAAGAAAAGTGTATTTTTCGAAGTTTCACATATCAAACTTTTGTGCAACGTTTACTCGAAATTTTGTATGTAATTTTTTAACTTTACAATGGCTAATAAGGAGCGTAGGCAAAAGAATGTGAAATTTGGTTTGTCTAAAGATGATAATTTTGATGTGGAAAATCCGATTTTACATGAAGAGGGTAGTGAGTTTTATTCTACAAGGGACTATTGGCAGCATATGTGTAATGGTCCTTCGTCGCCTGATAGGAAAAAGGATTTGGGTTTACAAAACACATGTTTGTTTCCCTGTTTTTGTTTGGTATTATTCATATATATTGAATTTTATTAGTCTTTAGAAAACTTAATTTTTACTGTATTTTTACTGTTTATTATGTATGTAGTATGTGAAAATATGTTTGTTCATTCGTATTTTAAGAATTTGTTTTTTTATGTGTATTGAATATCGTCAATTATATCCATCTTTTGAAATTAAATTAGGTTAATTTAGCTTATACATAAATAATATTGCTAGTAGTATTACTAGTACTATTTATGATATATTATATGCCAAATAACTAAAAAAAATGTGAGCAGTTCATGCGCTTTTTCCAATGAAGTCAAATTTCATCCAGATCGGTTCAGCTGTTTTGGCGTGATTATTATATAACGGAATCACCTAAGTATGAGTAATGTAAATGCCTATCCGTGCACTAGTTCTGGAGAAAGCCAAGCAGTCGCTGGAGGCCGAGAACGCGGACCTGGCGACGGAGCTGAAGGCGGCGGCGGCGGCGCGCGCGGACGGCGAGCGCCGCCGCAAGCAGGCCGAGGCGCAGCTGCAGGACCTCGCCGCCAAGCTGCAGGACGTGGAGCGCGCCAGGTGAGTGGGCACTGATGGGTCCATGGTTTCTAACTTGTTTTATTTTATTTTTTAACTAGCGACTCACCATCGCTTTGCTCGGTTTCGTCCCTAGGTACATTTTAATTTTTTTTTTGAGCGGAACCTTAATTCTTTTACTGAATAAAAGTAGCCTACATTACTCCTTATAACATCAAGTACCTGCCAGTGAAAGTCCCGTCAAAATCGGCCCAACCGTTTCGGAGATTAGCCTAAACAAACAGACAGACAAACAAACATATATAATTCTATATGCATTTAGTAAAAAGCTGTTCTTTTGACATTACAAACAGACACTTAAATTTAATTTATTTGTACAGATGTATAGATTAAACCGTATTATAAATATAATACCGCAACCCCCCCCCCCCCCCTCCCCTCACGCAGGTCGGAGCTGGCGGACAAGTGCATCCGGCTGCAGAGCGAGGCGGAGCAGGCGCTGCAGCAGCTGGAGGCGGCCGAGCTGAAGGCGTCCGCCGCCGCCAAGCAGGCCGCCACCGCGGGCGCGCAGCACGCCGAAGTACAGGTACCTATCTGGTGGTTTTAATGTAAAACATAATTGTTACTGATCAATTAAATTATAACTGATAGTTTCGTTCTTAATTGCTCGCTTTCATTGATTTTTAATATGGACAAGAATTTGCTAACATGTAGATTTCTTACCGTGTATATGTAGCTTGCTTCCCAATACATACTTTCATCCTTATTTTCACCCCCCTAAGGGATGATTTCCGGGATAAAAGGTATCCTAGTTCTTCACAGGGTCTAAAACTATCTTCTTACTAAATTTCATCAAAATCGGTTCAGTACATCTAGAGATTACCCCCTACAACCTCACAAACTCACAAACTTTACCTCTGTATAATATTCTTATAGATGTATCATAGGTATCGACACGTGTTGAGTGTATTGTAACTGTGTAACGTCGCAGGCGCTGCTGGAGGAGGAGACGAAGCAGAAGCTGTCGCTGCAGACGCGGCTGCGCGGCGTGGAGCAGCAGCTGGAGCAGGCGCGCGACCAGCTCGACGAGGAGGAGGAGGCCAAGAAGAACCTCGACAAGCAGGTACACACACACACACATACGTATACATACTTATATACAATGTATATATATATATATATACATTAGGGTGGAGCGAAAAAAAAATTGTTCTTTTTCTTTGCTTGGGGTAAAATTTGTAGCTTATAAAAAAACAAAATAATTGAAATAAAAAAAAAATAAGTTACTAATTGTTTTGAGGTGGCCCACTAATTTTTAAAATAAATAATTAATTTTTTTTGATTTGAATGATTTTTTTTGTCGTGTGATTAACTTGAAAACATTTAAGTATTGACAAATGTGGTCATTTTTTACTCAAGTTTCACTGTAATACAAAAAGTGACATGTTATTTTTTTTCTGTTTTTAAATCGCATTTATTGCAATATTACAGTGAAATTTGGACCCTAATATACATACATACATACATTGTAGTACATTTACATGTACACACATGCACATGTATTTGTAATAGCTGTATAATTATAAAGTATGTACATAAGTGTTCTTTTTTTCTCAAAATTGTAATAATAATTTCCCTATTTTAAAAGTACAGTGAATAATTAAATATTAATACATTTTTCTTCATTAATTTAATGACATTTTAAATATAGTTTTACAGATTGATTACTATATGGTTCGTTCCCCATTCGAAGCAACACTTTTTTGTAATAAATAAATTAGTTTGATTAATATTTTAATATAATAATTAATAATAAATAAAATGCCTTTTTATTTATGTAAACAATGTAGGTGGCAGTGCTAACACAGCAACTGGCGGACGCGAAGAAGAAGGCAGAAGAAGAAGCAGAAGCGGCAGCAGCACTAGAAGAACAGAGGAAGAAGCTCAGCAAGGACATCGAGGCGCTGCACTGTCAGCTGGATGAGCTCAAGCAGGCTAACGACAAGTTGGATAAGAGTGAGTTTTTATATATAACATATATTATATAAATGTTTATTTATTGGTTAATCTAGAAAGAAGTAGTGAAGTATATACCGATTATGATAAATTTTGGCAGTTTTGTGATTAAATAATTTGCATTCTAAAACGGGCTTAAGTTACTTTTTGTAAGGGAAAGTTTACAAGATTGGTCAATTTTTATATGGATATTTTATGTCCCGGAGAGATAGATATTCCGCGGAGTAGGCCCAGAGTCCCGTGAAAACTTTAATGTTGTCCAGAAATTACAATGTATGTAGGAATGTAGATAATTAATTTGCAGCGCTCGAATTCGTTGCTAGAAGCGCTAGTGTGGAGTGAGGTCTCTAAAAATGTGAAGTGATATATAAATGTTCACTGTTTTCGAGCTTCTCATCGTGGATTTCAACCAAATTATTCATGATTATTTTGGATTCGATTGATTTTTGATGATAAGATTACTAACATAACTTCTCGTTTCTGTTTCTGTTCATCGCGGACAAAGACGCAGGTTTTGTTAGTCTAGAAATAATATAAAATTTGTCTTGTCTTTAGACTGTCAGTCTAGTTCTAGCTAGTTTTTTGCACTAGAATACACTTACCTGTGTTTATAATATAACCTAAAAATAAATTAGGTTTTACTTCATTTCGCTCGAGTAGTCCAAAGTTATGTAAACTGTGTGTTATATGTTCATTTCATAAACCATTGGGTCCTATGAAATAGGAAAAAATGCGTGTATTTAAATAGAGTGTGTTGGTTTTTTTGTGTAATTGTGATAGGCGATATTATCGTTATATGTATGTCAAAATTCAAATACATATTTCTAATGAAATTTTAAGCAAAAATTCCTTTTAAATTGATTTGCACCAATTTTAGTTCAGAAGTACTCGTTTTTGTATGTATGACATGTATATATGTTTTTTTTTCATATTAATGTGTTTTTTTAGGCAAGAAGAAGATTCAAGAAGAATTGGAAGATACTAACATCGAGTTGAGTGCCCAGCGCGCTAAGGTGCAGGAGCTAGAGAAGAAGCAGAAGAACTTTGATAAGGTATAAAGTTACTTTTTTTTGGTTAGTATGTGTGAATTGTTGTTCTGGATGAGATTTGTTCTTACCGAATTTCGGTCAGAGGTACTTTATTAAATAAATAATTGAAACAATTGTTACTAATAATCTAGAATTAGTGTTCACATTACGTGTTCGTGTTAGGTCAAAAATATTATTTTACGTCTTTTCTTAGCTAAACTACTTCCTAGGAGCTTTTTCTACTCCTAGGGAGCATTTTCAGGGACTAAAAGTACTGAGGTTAATTTAAATGTAAATAATTGATTAAAGAGAATGTTAAAAGTCGACGTCGTTAAAAGTAATCTTTAGAAGCCATTAATAGGAATTGAATTTTAGTTAACTGAATTTAAAAAGGCAGTATTTCTTAATATATAGTATATAATAGCAATGATTGTGAATGTTTGTTCGCGTTGTTGTCTGCAGGTGGTGCAGGAGGAGCGCGCGGTGGCGGAGCGCAACGCGGCGGAGCGCGACGCGGCCGAGCGCGACGCGCGCGACAAGGAGACGCGCGTGCTGTCGCTCACGCGTGACCTCGACCTCGCCGCGGAGAAGGTAAGACGGATGCTTTGTTGATATTGTTATCCTTATCATTATTATCACTATTATCATTATCACTATCAGCATTATTATTATTATCATCATTAACGTTATTATCATAATCATCATTATCATTATTATCACTATCATCATCATCATCATATCATATCATCTGTTGTTTAAAGAAAATCTAATTGATATATGTATTTCATATGTTCAACAGATCGAAGAGCTGGAACGTTCCAAGCGTCTGCTCCAGTCTGAACTGGACGAGCTGGCCAACACCCAGGGTACGGCGGACAAGAATGTACACGAATTGGAGAAGGCGAAACGTGCGTTGGAATCCCAACTAGCTGAACTGAAGGCCCAAAATGAAGAGATTGAAGATGATCTTCAGTTGACAGAAGATGCTAAACTCCGTTTGGAAGTCAACATGCAGGCTATGAGGGCTCAGTTTGAGAGAGATTTGCAGGTTAGTGTTTTTTTTTGGTTTTGTATCTCAAAAAAAAAAGGATATACGGGTAGCTTCGTTGTCCGTCTGTCTGTCTGTTTGTCTGTCAAGACCTTTTTTCTCAGGAACGCGTGGAGGTATCAACTATAAAATAATATCAAATATTCATGTTTACAATGCCCTGGAGCTATGAAAAGGTAAAACAAAACTTGGGTTACTTACCATTGACCTAGAAACAATAAACTTGGCAAGAAGCAATGTCATATAGTACAAGTAAAGAGAAAAAATCGAAATCGAATCGAAAATCGTAAATAATAAAAATACAATTTACATCATAAAAAACAATGTTCACCATTATAATACCTGTATTCTACCTCATTGCAGGTAAAGAAGAATGACTTAAGGTTTTCTCAAATATATTCTTACACCATATTAGTTATTACCCCTCGCTTATCCTTCTTCCATTCCAGGCCAAAGAGGAAGCTGGTGAAGAGAAACGCCGTGGTATAGTGAAGCAGCTGCGCGAGCTGGAGGGCGAGCTGGAGGAGGAGCGCAAGCAGCGCGCCGCCGCCGCCGCCACGCGCAAGAAGCTGGAGGCCGACCTGAAGGATGCTGAACAGGCGTTGCACTTGGCTAACAAGGTTGGTGCTCCTTGGGTCTGAGGACTGGAAGATCCTGGTGCCCTAAACTAGCTTCTAGGCTTTTGGAGTTCAGCTCTAGACTGTGGACCAGGAGGTTCCAGGCTAAAACCCGAGCTCAAGCCATAACTAGATTGTAGACTAGGTCCTGGATTGGAGTCTTCAACTAGCTCTATATTTTTAGACTGCATGATCAAAATTCGTGAGGCCGATGCTCTGCTTTAAGCATATAAATTTAAAGTTTTAGTGGCTATATTGTTGGTCTTGAGGTCGATTGAGCTGAATTGTTGTTACGTTTTTCTATATAGTAATTTTCAGTATGAGTCCACATTCGTGCGCTATAATATTATATCCTGTATATTTGGTTAGTTTCAGAGAGATTTAGATTGTAAGGCATTATACAGTATTATCATTAGACAAGAGAATTTGATTATCAAGAATTGGTCATTGTTGTTTTTGTTATTTGAAAGACGGATAGACTACTAAAATGATAAACAACAATGAAATGAAAATCATTTAATTATTTTTAATAGAAAATGAAATTTCTTTTTTAAAATTTATTAAACCTAATCTCCAAACCATAGGTTAAAGAAGACGCAGTGAAACAAGCAAAGAAACTGACGGCGCAACTCAAAGAGGCGGTGCGAGAGGCGGAAGAGGCGCGCAGCGGCCGCGAGGAGGCGGCGGCGCTCGCGCGGGAGGCCGAGAGGCGGGTCAAGGCGCTGGAGGCGGAGGCCATGCAGCACGCTGAGGAGCTGGCGGCCGCGGAGAGGGCCCGCAGGCACGCGGAGGCCGAGAGGGACGACCGGGACGATGAGCTCACCGCTACCGGTGCTAAGGTGAGGTTGGGGTGAAGTGGGCTCGTGGTATTTGGTTATTTTTGAATGACCATGATTGTTATAAAGGATTTGAAACGTCGAAAAGTAAAAATCTAAATAAATCGGCGAAAAAACCCATATCATCAAAAGTCGTAAGCTTAGGGTTCGGTTTCGCTGGTAGATTGCGTAAGTGATGCTGCAACATCCCATTAAGATAAAATGGTGAGATGTTATTGTGTAGTACTGGCTCTTCTATCTGTTTTGGGATTTTTTGCACTAGCTTATAGTTATAATATATATATCTAAAACTAAGATAAAAATAAATATGTTGCGACATTAACACACAGCACCATCTAGTTGATACACTACACACATATAACTTTAAATACATACATATGAACACCCATGACTAGAGTACAAACATTCGTGCTCATTACACAAATGAATGCCCCCAGCGGGACTCAAACCCGCGACCCCTGGCACAGCAAGTCGGGTCGCCACAAACTGAGCCAACCGATTTTGAAATTTTCTCTAAAAATTAGATTATAGTATACAGGTCTGTTTAAATAAAAAATCTGCATAATCTTTTATTCAAATATTACAAATGAGACTTATCATACAATGTGACAATTTATATTATTTTAATAATAACAAAATGTGTTACCGCAGGTCACGTTGCTAGTGGACGAGAAAAAACGCCTGGAGGCGAGAATAGCGGCCCTCGAGGAGGATCTCGACGAGGAGCAGTCCAACAACGAAATACTCAACGACAGGCTCAGAAAGTCGCAGGTAATATTAAAATTTTACTTTTGGCACAAATGCAGGGGCGGATCTATGTATATATAGGCTTTTTAGGGTGCAGCAGCTGGTGAATGCGTTACGAAAAAATGTACGTACGTTTGTTGCCATGGTAACCGTTGTTATTGTCTGACAAACGATATATAATATTATGTTCTTTCCTTCAATGATATTCTATAAATATATGATTGTAATATGCCTAATATGCGTTATTTTTAGTATCTCATCTATCCTAATTATTTAAAACATAAATTGAACTTCATAAAGAGTATCGTAACCTAGGAAAGTTTTACTTCTTGTGCGTGTACACATTCATAGACGCACTCTTTAATTTTTTCTTCTTATTTCTAGAACCAAATCGACCAGCTCACGATGGAGCTGGGCACGGAGAAGTCGGCCACGCAGAAGCTGGAGAGCGGCAAGCTGGTGCTCGAGAGGCAGAACAAGGAGTTGAAGGCTAAGCTCGCAGAGTTGGAGACTGCCGGACGCGCTAAGACGAAGGTTGGTGTGGATTTAAGTTTGGTTGTGGATTTTTTTTATATGATGTTATTTTATTTTTCCTTTTCAGTTTTTGTCTTTTTTTTCGAGGTTCTTGTTTAATAAATAAAATCGTTTGTCGTATGTTCTTTTTAACTTAAACTTGTATTATGATTTAAGTTTACATTGATATGTTTTTTGATTAAAGTTTAAATTAATTCGACTTAATTTTAGAGTTAAGAATTATTGGAAAAATGTAAAAAAAATATTGATTTTAATATTGATATAGAATTCTGAAAAGCATTTAAAAAGAAACGGATGACAAAAAATTACCTTTTTAACTAGAGCTTATTTAATCTACCTTATTTTTACCTATACATATATCAATAACGACGTCAATGTTATCAGGGCGTCATAACATCGCTGGAGCTCAAAGTGTCCAACCTAGAGGAGCAGCTGGAGGCGGAGTCCCGCGAGCGCCTCGCGCAGCAGAAGGCGTCCCGCAAGCTGGACAAGAAGATGAAGGAGCTGGCCCTCCAGCTGGATGAGGAGCGTCGTCATGCTGACCAGTATAAGGAGCAGATTGAGAAGGTGAGGGGAGATGAGATAGAGTGAGCGAGAGAGTGAATGGGTGAAAGAGTGAGTGAGAAAGGACAATGAAGTCGGATAAATTTATTTAGTTTTATTTTTCACTTGATTTAATTTTTACTTTCTTATATTTAAGCGAATATTTAACATTTTAAATAAAAATATCTTAAAATAAAACTATCTTTTCGGATTATTTCGCGGATTTATTTTGATTTTTGGTTCCCGACGTTTTGAATGCTTTACAGCAATCATGGTCGCGGGAGAGGCTAAGGTTTTAGACGTTGCAAAGGCGTTATATACTTGCCATAATTGAATTTCTGATTTAATTTTTATTTAAAAACATCATTTTTTTCTTGCCGTGTTTTCTGTGTATATTACACAATGTTGTCGCCTATTCTAAATTGATTTGGATTATATTTATTTTATAATGAACACTGTTATAGTGACTATATAATAAGATATATGAATATAATTTTTAGATGAACGCTCGCGTGAAAGCCCTGAAGCGCGCGGTGGACGAGGCGGAGGAGGAGGTGCAGCGCGAGAAGGTCGGCAAGCGCAAGGCGCAGCGCGAGCTGGAGGACCTGCTGGAGACGCACGAGACCCTCGCCAGGGAGTGCTCCAACCTGAGGAACAAGCTCAGGTAACGGACGGACATATACATATATGTACATATGCATAAAAATAAATAAAAAATCATTTCATCATAAATAAAGAATCACCCCATACAAACTTTCATCCCCATTTTCACCCCCTTAAGGGATGATTTCCGGGATAAAAAATCCTATGTCCTTCCCAGGGTCTCAAACTATTTTCTTACTAAATTTTAATCTAAATCGGTTCAGTAGATCCAGAGATTACCCCCTACAACGACACAAATAAAACTTTTTATATCGGAAATCATCCCTTATGGGGGTGAAAATGGGGATGACATTTTGTATTGGGAAGCAAGCTAGGGATGAACCCGAGCGAAGCTAGGGTGAATCGCTAGTTGTATGTACACTTATTTTTATAGTATAATAATCGATATTGAAGGTATTCGCCATCTGCCGTTACGTCCGTAAATCTTCGGTGTGACGTATCGTCGTTTCAGTGCTTATTTTCCCAAACGATCGATTTACCGAAAAAGCTTTTAAATACAGAATTATTGACTTTTAAATGTCAATTCTATAGGTATTAAATAAAATTTTTATTTTATTAAGCCGAAAAAACAACACAATAACAGACACAACATTTTAATATGAATACTTTACATGTAAGTTATTATGAAGGCGGGTTATCTTTTTAACTAAAAAGATAATCTCGAATTATTATATAATATATTATGTATATATCCTTGTCCAGGCCCGCTGTATCTGATGGTAGTGAATAATTCTGGCAGTCTGTCTGTTGCGAGAGGTAATTGGTATGCGGTTGGAAAACAAATTTATTGTGGGCTGTTTACATTACGCATTTTTTCCATATAAATAAAAATTCAGATCAGTTTCTACTCGAGTAGTACTGTTACTGGTTTTTGTAATAAATAAACAATCATATTATTATTATTTTTATAATTGTTTTGATTTTTTTTACATAAAAGTATGGGTAATCTGGATCGAGACACATCCTGCTTATAAAAATTAACTAAATTTGAAATTTGTTGTTAAATGAAAACAGTTCAAAATATTAATAATATGATTTTTTAAATTCTGGAAAGCTTTTTGTGTGTGTAGGGGTCGTTATCGATGTTTGTTTCATCATTACAAGTAACATTGAATTGTCACACAATTTGTCACTTTAATTTGAATTAAAACTGTATGTTTTAAAGGACATAAAGAAATGTAAATATTGTAAACTATAGAAACTAGTGTAAAGAGTAGAATCGTTAAAAAATATAAAACAGATTTTATTTCCATCATTAACAAAATTTATAACATAACATTTCGAAATGTACTTTTTAATTTTTTTTTAATCTGATGCATGAAACATTGGTTTTAAATGAGATTAATTAGTTAATCATTATTATATTTTTAAGTGAAACTTCTTTAGAATAGTTGTGATTTTAAACTCGATGAAACGAAAATGCGACACTAAAATGAGACAAACACATAAATATATAGGATTAACTCGGCGAGAGAATGAGATACAATACATTGCCATATTTGCCGTTGTTATTGCTTGACAAATATATAATATTATTATATTCTTTCCGTATATGATATTCTATAAATATATGATTGTAATTTGCCTAATATGTCTAAAAAAATAATTACTGAATAATATGTAATGTATCTTTATGTCAAATAAAATTTAAATAACTTTAAACTTGGTAAAAATATTATTAAAAAAAAACAAACCTTATAATTATCTCCTGATACTCTATATTCATCTCATTCTCTCGTAGGTTACATTTCTGAAGTTTCATTTTTACCATGTGTGAGTTGTACACACACGCACTTTTATATGTTTATTTTTAAAGCATTGCATTGGGCGTATCATTTAAAGAGTGTACTTATCTTTAAAAAAAACAATTCATTGAGGTTAATGTTTATTCATTTTTGATTCAATACCCTGATTGCGGGACTAAATAATGGAGGGTGCTCACTCGAAATGTAGCTAAGATGGCGCCACTGATATTACGTAGAGAGGAAATGCACTATTGTTTTGAAATTGGAACGTTTTTAAATTATATCATTTATATAAGAAATATTTTATACAGCAAAACTTTTCTGTCTGATAGAAATGTACTTAGGACTGTGCATATTTCTTTGGAAGAACATGTAAATTAAATAATTTTTTAGTTTTCCATTCGCTTAATACTTGTGGCGCCACTAGCACCAAATCTTTACAGTGGGACCTCCGGTTAAAATATTCATTTGGGTTTATCGGTACCCAACTTGTTCAACTAATAACAATTAACCCTTTTCAATTACAGGCGGCAAGGCGGTCCCATCGGCCTCTCAGGCGCCACTTCGTCTCGCAAGCGCTCCTCGCTCGCGCCCGGCGGCGGCGCATCCGGTGACGAATCCTTCGACGACGGCACCGACGCTGCTAACTCGCTTGAGTGACGTCACCCTCGTCACTAACAGCAGTAACTGACACTGGTCACTTGTTATAGGTCACTGGTCACTTGGGGTGGGAAAGACACACGAAGGCTATTACGGGTTTTAGTAAACGGAAACGGTCTTGTATTCGAAATTTGATTTGTGATAATCGATATACGAAATGTAATTACGTTTTTGTGTGTAATTTAAACTCGTGTTAGCTCGTAGTGGATGTCTATCATAATGTCGTCATCGATGCGACTTGATTGATTGTTCTGTTACTTTCATGGTGGTTTATTTTTTTTAAATATATAGTTTCCGTGCTCAAGAATTGTCTGATGATGGTTGTCTAATAATTCCAAAGTGCCAATATCTATCGATTATATTTTTATATATGTTAGTATCGAGTGAACAATCATATTCGCATGTACCAAGTGACCGTTCAAACTGCTGTGTAGTTAAGGCTCTAGATGAACGATTCAGTGTGTTTTATTGTTACCAAAAAAAAAGAAGGAGAAACTAGTTTTTTTTTGCCAAATTTAAAATGGGTCACCACAATGCAAGTACAACTTGAAATTTCTGAGCAATTTTATTTTTTAATATATACTGAATCGTATATCTATATCCTTAGTGCTTGTACAGTGATGTGGACAGTTTAAACAAAACGTTATATAGTTAGTTTGTTTGTCTGTCTGCGTCGTTGTAACCTCTTAATCTAAATGTAAGCGAAACCGGGAGCCTGATTCTGTATTTACGATTGCTATTGCGGAAACTGTTCTATTGTATATTTACTTATACCGTTCAAGTTAATTTTCTATCGCAATATCGATTTTAAATACATAATAAGGTCGTAATATAACGTCACTATTTAACTATACCATACGAGTTTTTGCACCGAAATGCAAACTAATGCGAAATATTCAGGACTGATTGCGAATTGGTGCTCATTTTTTGATTGCATTTATTGTGATGTAAAACGATTAAATTATTTGTTTTTTTTTTTACTTCTTCTTAATTATTAACCAATTTTTTTTTGTAGTCTGTAATATTGTCTATGGTTTGGAGTCGTTATTACATCACGGTACAAAAGTCAGCCCCCGTTTCCAATTGGTTTTCCGCCAGTATTAAATATCGAGACATTCCTGAACAATCGAGTTTTTTTAAAGTAAAAATTTAATTGGGTGATAATAATGTGAATGAAATTCAACAGCGAGTATTATTTGTGGCAAATTTTTTCTATATAAAAAAAAAGCATTTAAAGCGACTGATCGACGAAGACTATTTTATGCATTGACCTTCGGTTAATTTAGGTTTCATGGGGTATATGGAAATTTTTATTTTTTTTAATTGTTTTTTTTTCACCAACATGTTAACCCCCTAAAGCCCCCATCGCATGGTGTAAATATCAGTGAGGTGCACTGAGCGCTTAGTTGCCATAAACAATTAATCATAGTTATAGTGGTTAGCCCCTAACTTTGGCATAAGCTTCGCTATGTCCGCCGTCGGTACATGGGTTCGAGGCGATGTACTTACTGGGTTTTGAAGCGTTTTTATATATAATATATTTTTTTTGGTACATTATATATTTTTTTTATTTACTAGACTGTATCTCTATATCGGTCGACCCTGTGTTATACTGACATTATTGGACAATTGAATGAATTATATGAATTGTTATTCATACGTTTGTCGTTTATTGTTTGGGTTTGCTATACCTACGTCGGCTCGTACGCTCGGCGGGACGCACCTGTATCGCTAGATCGCCCGCTTGTTTCATTTATAGTAATTTTAATAAGACTTAGTATTAAATTGTGGCCTTAGGTTTTTCAATAACGTGTAACGTGGGATGAGTGTTGCGGGAACGTTTTATAATATGTACCGAGTCTTAATTATTGTAATGATACCCCCCCCCTCCTCCTCCCCCCTCTCCCCTTTTTTTATTATAGTTTTGTTTCTGAATAATAATATAAAATTAAATGTAAGTAAACCATTGATACATATTTTACATAAATATTATATTTAATTATTAACAATATTGATAATTGTAAAATTGGCCATAGGTTGTAACAAGTTATCAGTTTGTATGCCAATTAAACAATTTTTCATGATTTTTAATATTGTGGTGTTTTATTTTTTGCCTTTATCCAGTTTGCCAGTTGGTGTACTTGTCCTAGTCTGCCGTCATAAGAAGGCCGCAGCTTCGTCAGAGTTGATTTTGAGATATTTTTTTTCTATCCCAATATACCTTGTTCCTTTTTCCCGTCTTAAATTACAATATTCCCGAGGAGAGTTGGCGTCAGGCAGTCGGCCGGCTATTTTATTTTATTTTATATGGCAAACACAGTATTTTATAACATAAATAGGTACATAACAAATAAAATATTACACAAACCAGCAATGTTTTCACTAATTTAAACACACAGAGTAGACCAAAAGAAATTTAAAAAAGGAAATAAGACATTTAAATATAAAAACATCAAAGTGTAAAAAAAACATTTAAGGCTAACATATTTTAAAAAACTACATTAAAGGTTATAAAAAAATCAGCCAAAACCTTATAGCAGTATGAGTGGTAACATATTGCGGCGATCCCAAATAAAATTGGGACAAGGATAGAAAGAAGAAGAGATTTTTTGCCTTTATCTGTACTAAAAGTGGTTGTAAATAATTTGATAAATAGACATATCTATTGATTTGTCGAACGTTTGAAAATGGCTGGGCGGATTTTAATGTAGTTCTTGAACAAATAAGAGATTAAAAAGATTTGATTACATCTCAACATGATGAATTTATCTATACAGATAAATAAGATTGAAGTGTCTGTTTGTAATGTCAAAATAACAGCTTCTTACGAAATGCTTAAGAAATTATATAAGGTAGGTACATATAACGAAAACACATTTTTTTAATTGTTGTCTGTCTGTTCTAAACCACCACAAAAAACTAAGGACGCACCCGACCGAAGCCAAGTTATGTTGTTAGTTCCATCCATAGAGAAATTTTTACATAAGTTCTATCATATACGTACCACAAGAGTACACATCTCAAAAATTATTGTAAGAAAAATAAAAATTGTGTTCTCTACATTTGGCAAGGGTGTATTTTGATAATCATAACTCGTTTACTGGCACAACCTACTACATATCACATAAAGTGAACGTAATGCTCACTCGTACCGCCATCTAGTGAACAAACATTGAACTCTTGCAAAAATTTTCTCATTTTGTCATCTAGATTGTAGTTTCGTATCCGAAAGGTTTAAACGGGGCACTTATAATTTCATCTTGTTATTCCTGCCTGCTTGTACGTTGTGGTTGGACCGATTTCAACGGGACTTTCTCTTCATAGCTGATGTTATATAATGTTTACTTTTATTTTAGAAAAATAATTAAGTTTCTGCTCAAAAAAAATGTACATAGGGACGCATTAGGGCGAAGCGAGATAAGTCTCTAGTCTGAAGTATGAATCCTAAGTTTTGTACGTATATAAAGATCAGGTTTGGTGGTGCGGACTATGCATCGCAAACGATAGCTAATGAATATTCAATATAATATATTTCTACCTGCAAGTATCAGATATCAGACTTTTCACCTTTATACATATACCGCGAATCTTATTTCTTATCTCAATTTTCCTGTCACTTAGCTTCATATCAAAGATAATACTTTTTATAGATAAATTCCTTACATTCAAAACAGACTTGAGATTTGAAAAAAATAAATATATATCTGATTAATCGTACAAGTTATTATAAAGGTTCCGTTTTCTAGAAACAATACATATAATAAAATTGTAACTAAGCTGAATCTGTACATTAAATATTTTTTGGAAAATCTTATTGAAATAGACATTATTATCGATACAGAGGCCGAATCTATAATTTTTAGAACTTTTGTCTGTCTGTTTGTTACCGCATCACGGAAAAACCACTGGAGGAATTTTGATGAAATTTGGTATGATATGGTAGCCGGTTATCCGGGTCAACATATAAGATACTTTTTACTGCGGGAAAATATCTCATCTCTGAGAAATCTATACTAAACTTTAAAACGTAACGAACCCGAGCGAAGCCAGGGTGAGTCGCTAGTATGCGATAAAAAACAATTATTCGTAGGTAAGTATAAATATATATAAATATTCGAGTAAATTATAACAATATCATAAAAAAAATATCAAAACTATTGCATACTTTCCGAACACATAAGATCTATACCTACATATAATAAAATTCTGAGTCGAATCTGTACGTTAAATATTTTTTGGAAAATCTTATTGAAATAGTCATTATTACCGATACAGAAGTCGAAACTACAGTTTTTAAAATATTTGTTTGTCTGTCTGTTACCGTATCAAGAAAAAACCACTGAACAAATTTTGATGAAATTTGGTATGGTGATAGTTGGTTATCGGGGCCAACATATAGGATACTTTTTACTGCGGGAAAATATCTCATCTCTGAGCTAAACTTTAAAACGTAACTACGGACGAACCCGAGCGGAACGAGGGCGAGTCGCTAGTTAACTATTTTTTAATGATTACTTCATGATTTTAGAACGCATTGAAAATTGACAGCCATTAAATAAAGTAAGTGCAAAATTGACAAGTAAATTCCTAAACCTAATGTCATATGTCACACGACAGTCGATCTGAATAGAATAAATGTAGAAATATTTTATTAAAAATAAATAGTAAATAAAATCCTCTTCTTTCCATTATTATTGATATATAAAATCGTGTTTTCTATTGTACTTTTAGATCTTTCACTATGTCTGAAGTTATCGAGGAATATTTTGAAGCGGCATTGGAACTTGTAAAAAATGCTGGAAACCTTATAACAGAGTTCACAAGTGGCTGCAAAGTGTTTGAATGTAAGTCTTCTGATATCGATTTAGTAACGGAGATCGATAAAAAGGTAGAAGAAACTTTGATAAATGGCCTTTCCAACAAATTTCCCACTCATAAATTCATTGGGGAAGAATCAGTGGCTGGGGGAGCTAAGTGCATTCTTACAGAGGATCCAACATGGATCATAGATCCTGTAGATGGTACATTAAATTTCATTCATGGCTACCCACACAGTTGTATTTCTCTTGGGCTTGTTATAAACAAGGAATCAGTCGCAGGGATAATTTATAATCCTATTTTAAATCAGCTATTCACTGCACAAAAAGGGAAAGGGGCATTTTTAAATGGCAGACCCATTCATGTATCTCAAGTGAAGGAGGTAAAAGATGCTCTAGTATCTTTTGAAGTTGGTACTGCCAGAGATGAAGAAAAGCAGAAGGTTGTATTAGAAAATTTCAAAATAATCACGTCTAAGGCACAGGGGGCAAGAACTGTAGGTTCTGCTGCGTTAAATATGGCTATGGTGGCTTTGGGAGGTTCTGATGTGTATTTCGAGTTTGGCATCCATGCATGGGATATAGCTGCTGGAGATATTATAGTGAGAGAAGCTGGTGGAGTTTGTATAGACCCTGCGGGTGGAGATTTTGATATTCTATCTCGTAGAGTTTTATGTGCCAGCTCGCTTGAACTAGCTCAGGAGTTTGCTAAGATGTTACATCAGTACTATCCAGAAAGAGATTAAGTTTCTAAATTATTAGATCTGTTAATTTTGAATTTCATATATGTTTACTAGTCTAATGTTTGTACTTAACTACGTAAAGGTAGTATATGTTTTTTTGACTGTGAATCATTATTTCACGTTTGACAGATTTTACTTATGCTAATAAATATACTTATTTACTTAGTCTGTGACTATAATATAATTGATTATATAAATACTCATATAATATGCTGTATAAAATGAATGTTTATTGAAAATATATCTTGAGATGTTGTTTATTATTGGTGATATATTATGTATTAAGTTTGAAAACCAATACCAAAAATATTTAAATATATTAATTTATATAGATGTATTAATTGTTTCTATTCATTTATTATTGAAAAAACTTCTAACATTTAAAATTAAATAATTATATGTGTAATTTATAGTTTTCTAAACTAATTACTGATGATGTTTTGGATATCTTATATCTACATTCCAGTTCAATTTTATACTTCGAAAAGAAATATTTTAAATAAATATTAAGTTACAGGTGATTTCTTGAAATATTGTGTAAAAAAAATCATAGTCATTTTGTGAGAATTTTATTGACATTAAAGTCTTTACATAAAATTTTACTTTCGTTTTGTTATTAAACAGCCACAAGTTAAAATAAAAAGCATGGCCCTAAATTGATAAATTATTTATTATTTTAGTGTTCTACATTCTTACAGATATTATCGGTGGTATTCTCTTTATTTTATAATTTTAATTTTAAGTGGATATATTAAACCAATTTTATAGTCATTTAAGAGAATTACAGTACATAGAAAAAAGTTGTTAAAATTCACAATTAATTTTATACAAAATGAAGTCACAGGCATGTTCATGAAGTATAACTTAAAAATAATACTTGCTTAAAACAATAATTGTTCAATCTTATTTTTTATAAATGTCTATAAATTACTTTATTCTAAATACAAAGCAAAAACTTACAAAACATTCTTTGTAGTGCTATTATTGTATTTATATTATAATTCAAAAATGTTAAAATTTTCATTTTCTACATTGACAGTGAGTCATTAGTTAGTTAGTCTTCAAAGTCAGTCAGTCATTTGTGTTACATGTCTATTGGTCATTGGTCAGTCAGAAAAAAATAAACTCAGTTATTTGTTTAGTCTATTAGAGTTTAAATGTAGTCTAGTCAAGGCATTTTGCATATACAGCAAACAAAAGTAAAATAGATGTTGCTTTGTCAAAAGTTAGTCATTTGAGTTAATATAACCCATTTGGATGTCAGTAGTTAAATTTAGTCAGTAATAGTCAACAATTCGTGAGTCAGTACATTTAGCAAATACAGTATATATTGTTTTAAGTCAGTCAGTTAAAGTCGATTAAACGATTTAAGTCGATGTCGGTAATTTTAGTCAGCACAGTTTGCATCTACTTAAAATACTCAGTTAATATTGTCAGTAAAAGTCAAAAGTCAATCATTTAAGTACGTTTTACAAACAACATTATATCGGGTTACATAGTCGCGTCATTTAAGGTCACATTTAGTATGTCATTGGTTAAATTAGTCAAATCAGTAAGTCAAAAGTCAAGTGTATTTAGAGTTTATATATAAGTAATGAAAAAAAAATATAGTAAAAGTAACTCTTAAGTCAATGTGTCCTCAATGATTTTTTGCAGTCATGTCATTCATATAATGATTCGTCTATTTAAATTATCTACCTTTGTCTCATTCTATTTTTATTATGTTATTGGGGATACAATTGCATCACTCGAGTACACCTCGTTTTTCTCATTCAGTCCATTGTAGTCCCAAAGAGTTATTTTTGATGACAGTACATCAGTAGTCAGTATCAGTCCATTGTTATATATTGTATATTGAGTTTTTAATGTGTAGTCAGTCATGTCACGAGCTAAGTTGTCAGAGTATTATGTAGGCAGTCAGTCGTGTCAATAGCATAAAAGTTATTGCTATCAGAATAAAATATTTCACTTGGTCATATATACCATGGGTTATATCTACAAAATTACTTTTATGTATAATATTCTATAAGTTTATTTTTGTTTTGGTATAAAGCTTAGGTACAGTCAAGAATGTCATTTACGATCAGTAAATTGTCATAGTCAGTCACTATTTAGTCAAACATTGTTATTTAAGTCAGCTTAGTTTCTTAAGTCAGTCAGTAATTAAAATTAGTTACAATATTGTCAGTGTGCTGTATGATATATGTAAGTGTAAGTCATACTTCAGTTAGGTCATATCTTTACTGTCATAGAAGTCAAAATTGTCTTACTAAGTTACTAAAGTCATTATTAGTAGAGTTTCATTCAGTAATAAGTCATTTTTAATAAGTCACTATGTAGAATTTTAATGATTTTTTGTCATGTATTATATTAGTTATTGTCAGTCATAAAGTAATGTCACATACATAATACTTATTGGTTATAGTCAGTCCTATCATAATGTCACATATATAATATTCGTTATTGTCATAAGTTATGTAAGTGAGTCAAAAAAGTAGTTTTTGTGAGTTTTGAGTCAAGTTGCTGTCATAGTATTAGAGATGTAGATGTCATAGTATTAGAGATGTAGATCAACATTAATAATAGGTCAGTAAAGGTCGGTCAAACTTTGTGTCTTGTCAATAAAGAGTAGGGTAAAAAAAATAAAAAAAATATGCTGCATAAATAAATGACGACAGCCTTTTAGGTATTATATATAGTATACAATTCTATAATTATGTAAATCATTTGTTTCTTCTTGTCAGTAGGGCAAGTTATTGATGTTGAGTTGTTTTCCGATTTATTCTTTAAGATTATTTTGGTTATGATATAAGTAAATGTGTAGCGAACTTTTGGTCTTAGTGAAAGAACTAGTTAAGCTCTTCCAGGTCTTCGTCGCATTGAAAATTCGAAAGGTCTGGGGATCTCTCTTAGGGCGTAGGGGTCGGCCTTGATTGCGGGCATCTTTGGGAGCTCTATACCCATATCTTCTTTTTCTTCGTATACTGCCCACTGAGAGGGGCTGTAAAAGAAATTTAATTTAAAGAGTATATTACGAATAGCTTAAAGGTTTACTTCATTGAATATATATTCAATGAATATTATATTTTTCACATAGTATCGTAATTCAATTATTTATGGTGCTACATGAAGAATTTTGATTATTTTTTAAGCTTGCACAAGTATTTTAGTTGCATTTATAACTAAAATGTATGTATTAATAATATTTACTTACTTGTTCTCACTCGGTATTATTTGAAAAGCAACTGAAGGAGTTTTTGCAGGCGATGGCTTCACTTTTAACCTTTGCCTGTTTACTGTATTAGATTCTGAAGATATTTTGCTGTTCCCAGATCTTTCTTCAATGCCAATGTAATCATTGGGTATGTTAGTTTCATTAGTTCTTAGATCATTTATCTTTTTGAGATTATCATTTTGGTGTGTATCCTTTTTATTAGTATTGTCGTGGTTAGTACCTTCAGGATATTTTCGTAAAACGTTATGTATAAAATAATATTTGTCTTTTGTTTCTGTCTGTTCGTCATTTCGTCTTGTCGGTCTGTGTAAAGTGTAAGGTTTCGTTGCAGTATCATATATAAGGAATGTGGAGAGTTTTCCATTGTTTAGCTCATCCGTGATATTGTCAGATTTTTCTTCAACAGTGGAAAAATCTTTACTAATTTCTTCTTTTTTTAAGTCTTTTTTGTTGTCGTTATTATTACTAGTATTTGTACTGCCTTTGTAAGTACCGACATAGCTAAAAGTTAGTAGTTTATAAATATTTTCTGTAGTTGCGTCTAATTTTTCATTGTCAGTAGAGTTGTCTGTCTCAAGTGTCGGTCGGTCAGTCATTAAAGATCCCTCAGTGGACGAGTTTAGATCTGAAGCAGGAGGATCTTCATTAGACCGGGCTGAAGATTGAGAATTTTCAGTTACAGGTTTGTTATCTCGTGATTCAAAGTAATCCTCGTCCCTATTGCTGTAGTATGGTCTGTTAGGTCGTCTGTAAGTGTCATCATAACCCTGGTAAGTTACCTTGACTACGTCTCTGTCATAATTTCGTTTTGTTGTCTTTCGCCAGGATTGAGTTGGTCGTGGTACATAGTTAATTAGATATGTGTATTTGTCAATGTTTTCTGTCACAGATATGTATGGTCGGCTCGGTCTTTTGTTAGGTACGTTATTGATTACCACAGATTGTACACTTTGAACGTCATCGTAATAGTCATTATATTGTCGAGTTGGGTTATATGGAGTATCTAAGTTACTAAAACGTCTTGTCTTATTTTTAAAATCAAGTTTGTCATCGATAGTCACTGGTATATGAAAGTTAAAAAGGTCAGTAGTATTTTTATTTATGCTATCGTTAGAGTCAGTCAAGTCAGTAGAGTCAGTCGCGTTAAGTTTATTCTTTTGCTTTTGTGATTTATTTGAGTTAGAGGCTTTATCGCCGGCTGATTGATTTTTCATTGCTTTTCTAGTAGTTAACGGTCTCACAGTCGTAGTTTTGGATCTCTTAGGTTTTGTTGTAGAGTGTGTGGGTACATTTTCATCAATTCTCTTAATATCATTATTAGATTCTGAGTTAATTTCAATCCAAGGAGATAGATCGAAGTTATTAAGTAATCCGTTGCGACACGATATGCGTTCATTATCGGTATTTTCTGGTGATAGGAAGACGAATGGTTGGACATTGTCTATAGAGTCTAAGGTGCGACACAGCACTTGAGCTAACGATATCCTTCGGATTTGTTGCAACTGCGCTGGGGTAAATGAAGACTCAAATCCTCCGTTTTCATACCTATAAATGAAGACAAGTAAGTTAAAATTATTGAAAAGTATTTTATATAATAAAACATGTTAGGTGTACATATATTTTTTGTTACTCACCAAAATCTGTCGCCCTTTCGTAAATTAGAGAATTGCTGAGCGATGACACAAGCGAATGTCGGTCCCACAAGTCCACCCACAACCGGGCGCTCTGCCATACCTCCCGTGAACAAATCAATATCATCCACGTGTCTAGAACGCACAGGTTAGAAATATTGATTTTTAAATTAGAAGAATATAAATAATATTTTTTTTACGGTTCAGTCACTCAGTGGATGAATTTAATTAGATAAATTTACTTAAAATATTATACCTATACAAAACCTTCAATTTTCTTACAACCCTTGCTGGCATAACTCTCATCAGGTCTTCGAAACCACTTATCACTGTTAGTCCGCAAGGTTCCCTCCAAGCTGTGTACGGCGGAACTCCATGGTCTCTTCCTCGTTGTATATTAATAGCTGCTAAATCCATACCAAAGGCAAAATGTGGCGTTTGAAATAGGTGATTTGTAAGTTCTTCGGTGATGAATTCATCTCGCTTTTGTATGGGTTGATTCACCATGCCTAAGAGAAGCCTGTCAACAGCACCCATGCTCCAGATATTGGACGGATTTGTTAGTTCGTCGTGGAGGCTGACATCTGTAGAGAAGAAGATAGGTCATACGAGTGTATTTTATAGTTACCATGGGTATCGTGGATGTTAATTCTCGTAGTAATTTAAAGTTTGAATTTTACAGTTACTAAATCAAGCATTCTATAAAAAAAAATCGTCTTGTGTGGAAGCTATTCCATCTAAGGTTATATCATTTTAAATATAATTTCATGATGTGTTTTAAAAATGAATTAAAAATAAATAGCTTACTGTTAGTTATTGGCCGGTGAAATCTGTCAAAGCGCACCAAAGAGGGTTGTACAAGACTGTGTCCGAAGCGGAAGGCGGCTGAACCGAAAGAGCTGGCGGGACTGGCATTGGTCTTCGGGTTGTAGCCGCGGTAATAGCCTTTCTGTACGAGATCCAGGTCAAAGAGACGCATTACTTCAGTGCCTAGAAATTAAGAAGATTTAAATAACAATATCTTATACTAGTTTTCAATAGGTTTTTTGAAGAAAAACTTTTTTAGGCGTGACTGAGGGGTAAGTCAATACATTGGAAAAATGAGTGTCGCGGAAGTGCGTTTAAAAATGTTTAAAGTTAAAAAATATTGTAATGTAATTGGTGCAATTTTCATTTTGTTAATTGTGGGTAGGCTGTCTGTAACAACTATACATTCAAGACATGTAACACCTCAGTCTCTCCCGTGACCATGGATGCTGTAAAGCATTCGAAACGTCGAGAACCAAAAATCAAAATGAATCCGCGAAATAATCCGAAAAGATAGTTTTATTTAAAAATGCGTCTAATTTATTAATAATACAAAAAAATATGTATTTATATTTTTATGATAATTATTATTGATAAAAAATAAAAATATATATTTATTATTAATAATTTATAATTTTATTAACAAAAGATTATATTTATATTTTGATTTATGTATCTGCCACAGCGCCAAAAAAGAAGTTTTACTTAAACTGCGCGTAAAGGTTACACTCATTTTTTTAATTACTCACAATATTAACTCACCTAAAACAATAGGCAGGAATTCCCTGTAAGTAATGTGTTGTATCATTGCGCCGACAATCTTACGAGTCTCTTGGTAGATCTTCTCGTCGCTCCAGTGCGGATTTAAATGCGTGAGCTCTTGAGCCATTCTGATAACATGAAAATATATTTAAAATATTATTAATTTGATTTTATTTTGTAAGAAGGTTTTGGAAGAGACTACGGATCTTGTTTTTTTTTCTAATTATTTACAGATTTTACAAACAGTGCCTATCCACAAAAATTATGCAATAGGTAATTTGAAAAAAAAAAACAGAAATGGCACCGTAACAGTTATAATAGTAGGGGAGCCCAAGAGGGGATTTTCTGTAGTTACTCGAGCGCGGCAGATTAACATAAAAGAAGTTACCTTGCACTCTATTGAGTACTTTCACCATAATATAAGTCTTCTATATAAAGGGGCGCGTCTAGGGAAGCCGATTAAAATATTTAAAAAATGTTTTGATAAGGTAGAAATACTTGAAACCGTCAGATTAAGGTGTGGTAGGCTAGTCACATCCTGAAAAGTGAAAGAAGACTTATATTATGGTGAAAGTACTCAATAGAGTGCAAGGTAACTTCTTTTATGTTAATCTGCCGCGCTCGAGTAACTACAGAAAATCCCCTCTTGGGCTCCCCTACTATAACTTTATAAAGGAAAAACTTAAACTCTCTCGTAATCATGGTTGCTGTACGTAAAGCGTTTGAAATTTAAGTAACAAAAAAATCAAATTAAAACCGCTATAAAATCCTATAAAATGATTTTATTTAAAATCTCAAATACGCGTAAAACTAAGAAAGTATGATATGAAAATACAATGAAACAAATAAAATATATTCAGAGTAATTCAAACGATCAGTGAATTCAATTTAATTTCTATAATATTGACAACAAAGCGTAAGTATACAAAAATGTAGGAATTTATAAAATTAAAAAAAAATTGATTTTCTTTTACCTATTATGCTGTCTCAGCCATATTATATGAGCAGCAACAAGACCTGGGTGTTCATTCACTCTAGCGTCCCCAGACTTGAAGCAGTCCGTGGATACTGCACCACCTCGGCACAGCTCGTCTCTATCCGGTGGTAAGAGGGGACGACGTTGCTGGACTCTGCCATACTGGAGCATACCTAGATTCGAAAAGTATATAATGTTTAGGGCAGTGATAGATAGTGGTAACGCGCTCGCTTGGGAAACCGAGTGAAGTGGGTTCAAATCCCGGGTCTCGCACCTCTGATATTTTCATGCGATCATTTGCAACATGATTACCACTTGTCTTACGGTGAAGTAAAACATCGTGAGGAAACCTGCATGTCTGAGAGAACCAAGCAAGTTTTCGAAAGACATGTGAAGTCTGCCAACTTGCACTAGGCCAGCGGTGAGGATAATGAAATGATCCCCCTCGTATTGAAGGGAGGCCAAGTTCATACAGATTATATGCTTTTATGTACATATGTACCTACATATATTTAAAATATTTTTATGTATGTAAATTATACTCATGTGCGTATTATTTTCAACTTGTATTTTATAGAAAAAATAATGCCTCTTAACACTTATAATGCTATGAGATGATAAATCAGGTAATAAAATTAAATGTTTTATGAATTCCTTTTGTACGAGTATCATAAACGTCAGCAAAAGGTTAGGTATGCGATGAATTGATGTTATGTACCACAATTTACAATAATATATGATTAAGTGCAATATTTTTAATAGTACATCTATTCTATATCTCGAAAGGTTATCAGATGACGAAGCAAGAGATGAAGCAAAGATACAAAATAACTAACACAACAGAAAAAGGTATTTAAGTATTTTTAAAGTAAATAACTTACCATTTCTGAACAGTCTGAGTTTATCCGATTGCCTCGCAGAACTTGCATATAGAGGAGATCCATCAATATAAGCAGATACTTGGTTGAACTGCTCGCGCCAACCCAAGGCGCAGTCGTCACGAGGAGCTGGAGACGATCGTACGAAGTCCAAACACCTGACTCCTCTGGGGCCATAGAATGGGTCAGATGGCGGTACTGCTATTGGCATACATTCAGGGTGCTGGAAGAATTTTCAACCGTCTTAATATTGTAATGAATTAGTTATTACCAGTGGTACCGCCTGTATTATTAGAAAGTATTATGTTTGTTCAAATCTCAGTTTTAATTTTTTTTATACACATAAAATTAGTTAAGATAACTTAAACCCTATTTATAAATTTTAATGTTTTAATTATTATATATTTCTTTTGTATAAACGTAGCGAACTATTTTACTTATTAGCCTGCATTGGCTTTATGTCATATCGTTTTAAAATTGTTTTTTTTTTCTATACAATTTTTTACCCTATTTTGTAGTCATTTTATTTTCTTTTATATTAGCAGTGCATGTATGTAATTTGTTGGTCAGTGCTACAGACTATGGTCTAACATACTAGAACTTGTGTATTAAAAATGAATTTAAAATGTAGGTATTTGTGTGTTATGCTGTTAGTGTTCTTAATAAATAAAAAAAACTATTGAGCCGTTGCGGCGCGAAAAAGTAAGACTGACTTAACTACAAATTTTAGTATTTATAATTAATATTAGTATGATTGGATTTTTACAAATTTAAGACAAACATTTCAAAAAAATACTAATATTACATTACATTACACAAGTAATATCTGATATAAAAATTGGTATTATAAAAAATATGATGAAGAAAACTAACCATAAATTCTCTAGGGATAAAATCTTTCCCACCATCCTTACAGCATCTCGGCACGGAACCGTTGAAACCCCTCGATTGTGATGAAGATGTGATATCGTGATCAACTAATTGTCCCCATTGCATTAAGAGATGCGTGATACCAGGGTTCTCTGCATTCTTGTCTTCATGGATGAGGGCACTAACTTCCCTCGCTGATGGTAAGGTAGCCCCGAAAACAGATTTTCTTGGGGCTTGGATACCATCTGAGTAGACTGGTTGGAGAAAACGTTGAACAGGTGTCATGGTGGCTCCCCATCGTGGACGGTTGAAGTTGTTGCAAGTACCGTCATGGGTTCGATATCTAGCGATGCCAATAAATGTAATATGTCAGTAAATGTCAATATTAAATATAGTTTTATATAATTGTTGGATTTACTTTATTCGAATTGTTATTTATAGTTTAATTCTTAGAAAGCTTCTTAATATTTTTTACTACTATATCTAGAAATATGAATAAATAATTCAAATATTTGTCTTTTAACTTTGAACATAAGAAGAATTATAGTGGGATAGATATCATCTAGTTTTTCAAAAAGCGCTCCAAAAATAAGGCCGTAAATTCTTAAATTCGGTATTTATTGATACATCGCTGTATGTTAAAGATACAAATTTTAGTTAGAATTGATACCACTACGAATTTGTTCTTACCTTTTAGAAGCAGGTGGACATTTTGGTGGTCCTTTAAGTGGACATTGCTCTAACAGGGACGACTGTCTAAGTGCACTGGCGTCGGGAAATTGGCCTTCTTCTGTGCGGCTTTGGAGGCTATCTCCATCACTTCTGTAAAAAAAAGGATTTAAGTAAAGTATAACTAAAAATATAGAGATACTAGCAACTCACCCTCGCTCCGCTCGGGTTTGTCCCTACGTTTAAACAGTTAATATAGATTTCTCAAAGAGCGATATTTTTTCGCAGTAAAAAGTATCCTATATGTTGACCCGGATAAACACTATCATCATACCTTTCATCAAAATCTGTCCAGTGACGTCAATAAGATTTTCAAAAAAATATTTAATGTCCAGATTGGACTCAGTTAAAATTTTATTATATGTATAGAAGATAAAAAAAACAGCTAATTAGTAAGCACCAGGTCGATATGAAATTTTGTTCTCGATAAAAAATGCTTAAATGATTTTATACAATTCTTAAATGAAAAAAAAATCGGTATTAAAAAGTACCCATATCTTATACCTAATAGAAATCGCTCTTGCCAAAATAAATAGGTGAAACCCAAAAAAATAAAGGTGATAATTCCCTGAGTTTAATCCGTGATTCCTCAAGAGAAAGATAGTACTTAAAAGACTGAACAGTCAGTCAAAAATTAAAAAAGGCTAAATAAGAATAAAATATAAATACGATATTATGTAGTAGTCTATACTAATATTAATATTATAAATAGGTAAAGTTTGTGAGTTTGTGTCGTTGTAGGGGGTAATCTCTGGATCTACAGAATCGATTTAGATGAAATTTGGTAAGAAGATAGTTTGAGACCCTGGGAAGTGTTGTATATTATAAGAGGGTAATTACATAGTATATAAGTAAGAGTTAAGTATGCTTTGTATGTAGGTAGTACTGAAAGTGTGTAAAAAAACTATTAAAAAGGCAATCAAAAGTAAAATTGATATAGATACAGCTTTATGTCGATTTTTGTTAGCATATAGGAATACGGAACACTATAGCACAGGGGAAAGCCCAGCAAAAATTTTACAAGGTAGAAATTTACGTATGCGTTTAGATAAATTGAAACCAGATCGTTCGCAACGCGTGTTAGAACGACAAACACAGAGTCAAGGGGAAGGCAGGGTACACCGAGGTTTTGAGCCCGGAGAATGTGTTTGGTGTAGGGACTACCGCGTCGGTTCTAGCGATAAGTGGGTGCCAGGTAAAGTCACAGAGAAATTAGGTAACACAGATTATAACATTCGGTGTCAAAACGGAACGGAGGTACATAGGCATGTCGACCAATTAAGAACGAGAGTTTCAGACCCTACGGTCGGTGTAAGTGTACCACCTAAGCCACGTAGAACTAGCACACTCATAATACCCGAAAAAAGTCCAGTTGAGCCTGAGGGCCTGACTGCGCCGCCGGTGGCGTTGTCGCCAGTTCCGCAGCCCTCAAGCCCCAGTGTGACGGAAAGCGAGAAGTCGCAAACAGAGACGGAATTATTTCCGCAAATTAAGAGAGTACGAAAACCCCCAGTACGCTTAGGTATAGACGAATTTGGTATACCTAGATATAATGATTGTAAGATAATTTAAGAATAAATAGGTGAAGATAATAGTTCGTAATATATTGTTTTTTTTGTTGTTGTCATATTAGCTTAATATTTAAATTTCTTAACTTTAATTATATATTAAACATAGGATAAATTAAATGAACTTATTGATGTGTAAACAATTTATTATAACATGTATGTATGTAGGGTTAATTAAGGGTGGAGGTGTTGTATATTATAAGAGGGTAATTACATAGTATATAAGTAAGAGTTAAGTATTAGTATGCTTTGTATGTAGGTAGTACTGACAGTTGTAAAATAAACGCAATACATAACGGACGTGTTCTTATTTAGCAGGAAGGATATAGGATACTTTTTATTCCGGAAATCATCCCATGAGGAAAAATGGGGATAAAAGTTTGTATGGGGAATCAAACTAGGGACGAACCCGAGCGAAGCCAGGGTGAGTCGCTAGTATAAAATAAATGTAGGTAAGTAAATATGTAAATGTGTTTGTGTACATTAAAGCAAAAATAAATGTGTACTTTTGAATAATATAAAACACAATAACAATTTGAAACAATTTGCTAGCATAATTGCAAAGTGCAAGCACGCTTCCGCACTCGAAATATTAGTATGGGCAGATCCGCCTGAAAGCGGTTTCATCACTTTCTTGATGCGAAATTAAATCGTATGTAGAGATTTCATGTTTATTTATGATATGGTAATACTACTTTCTTATGTTAGCGACCTTTGGAAGATATTTAAATATAATCAAAAACTTCATTCAAGATGACCGGAATGTTGTAATAGTAAGTTTTTAGTCGTTAGTCAATGTCAGAAGCAGCAGGTTCGAGTCTCGAGCGGGGTTACAATTGGAGTTCAACATAATATTAGGCTGTATGTATATCTTCAGTATATAACGTATGTGTTTGTTTGTCCTCTTCATGCAACAACCGATCGGACGTGATTTTTACGGATAGCTATTAGCCGGAGGATTCTAACTACCCCTAATCCCGGTTCTCATCCAGTTTTCATATATTAGGCACATCTGAGTGAAGCAAGGGCCTCATTAGCTTTGAATAAAATATATTGCCAATATTCATATTTAAACTATCAAGAAGTAACTTGTTCTCTTTTTAAAAAGAATAGGGATAAATCGCTCGAAGACAATGTGTAATGCTTTCATATACCTGGAACAGTTTCTAAAATTGTATCACCACTCGTTTATCCTACATTCAAGCTAAATAACTTTTTATCTTATAAGCTGGTAATGTACATTGTACATGTATACTAAAGATTTTTTGTTTGTTTGTACCGAATAAGCTCTGAAACTACTGAACCGCTTTAAATGAAATTTGGTAAGAAGATAGTTTGACACCCTGGAAAGGACATAGGATAGTTTTTATCCCGGAAATCATCCCTTAAGGAGATGAAAAAGGGGACGAAAGTTTGTATGAGGAATGAACCTAGGGACGAAGTCGCTGACTTGACGCGAGTCGCTAGTATGCGTATATACGAATTTAAAGACGTACCTACTTATCCATTTGTTATATAAAAATAAGTAGATAGAAAGCTAAATATTATTTTATAATATATTGTTACGCAATAATATTTCTGTAATATTTGAAATTAAAGAGTTATTTATTATGCATGACGCGGCTTCAAAAGCGAAAGCGTTTATATTATATGCATAATATTATACTCATAGGTATAATAATTAAGATAAATATTTAAATTATACAAAAATTACGATATTCTTACCTAATTGTCTAAATGATACTAGGTTTATACCGTGGATTTCGACGAACAATTCGTCGCTTCTAGCGTCAAGGCCACACATACATTCATACACACACACACACACATATATATATATATATATATATATATATATATATATATATATGTGTGTACGTGAAAAGCAAAAATTAAATGAAAGTTCTAAAGTTCTATTCCATTGAATGAGACAGAATAAAAACATAAATTATAATAACATGAGACCTAGCTTTTCCGTCCACAAATTGGAAAAAATCTCTTTATAAATACTAATTAGAAAAATCTAGAATAAAATATAATACTAATACAGAAACTTAAGTAACTTTTAAAAATATCGTTACGTATTATGTAAGTATATAGAGATATTATTAATGAATACTATGTAATATCTAATCAAAATCCCCATACATTTTAAGTGTTATTTATACATTTTATTATCTTCATATCGTGGGAAGGTTAAAAGAATCAAGTAAAGACATAATACGTCTTATGTTAGTTTAAATCGACTATGGGGAGCTTTCAGCTAACTTTGTGGAAAGCTTAATAGCACCAAAATTCTTTGTCAACATAAAAACATTGGAAGCTTTTGCTAAAATCAGCGTTATCAGTTTGTAACGACCCTATATCCTGCGCCAGCGGTTGCGTGTTCGAGTCCCGCTGGGGGCATTCATTTGTGTGATGAGCACGAATGTTTGTACTCCAGTCATGGATGTTTATAGTTATAATATGTATGTATTCTATATGTTTAGTGTATCAACTGTCTGGTATCCATAACACAGGCTTCGTAGCTTACCATGGAACTAGATCGTGCTGTGTGTCCCAACATATTCATTTATTATTTTAGATGGTCGTGAAAGTAAGGTGATAAGAAAGTACCCTAAATTCTTTTGACAAATAGTTAATATTAAATACAGTGATTATTACTTTAGAAAATACGTGATTGCAGATATTTTCCAAAAAGACAACCTATTCCTGGCAAAATCGATAGAAATATTTTGTTGCAAAAAACATCAATAACATGTCTCCCAATGCTATTAAGCACTTTCTTATTTTTGAATGCCAAATTACAAAATACTTTTTCAAATAGTATTTTTAGCGTCAAAATGCGATAATTTCTCCATCTTGGGTGCAGCGGTGAAAGTGAAGCTTTCGCCCGAGCGTGGTCGCGCTTGTTTGATCACTCATTTTGAGTGTTACGTAACTGTTTTGTATTATATTATTACATACATAATTCCACCTGCTTTTAGGCGTGTGTCTATCTAATAGCATTTATTTTAGTATAAGCATATGCCCGCGGCTTTGTCCGTTTAGATTAAAATGTACCTGGACCGATTCGCTCGGCGTTTTTTCGGCAAAGATATAAAAATTGCGTTTTTTTTAATTTAAAAGCAATATCTTATCTATATACAAAATTTGATCCAAATCTTTAGAGCCGGTTTCGAGATACACGAAATAATATATACACATAAGGATTTCTTGCATAATAAGATAATTTATTTTATACTTTCCTAAGTACACTTTCTCAAAAACGTTTTTAGTGGATACCTACTCACTATAAAGAACCTATCTTCATAACCTCATAGGGACTATATATCTGCCGTGTCCGCCTCTCATTAATCTATGTATTTGCTTTTAAATAGATGTAAGTATATATAATTGACATAATTTAGAATTCTCGCTCATAAATTTCTATACAAAAATTAACATAGATGCACTTGCATGCACTTGAGAAATTGATAAAACAACAAATACATTGTTTTTACTATATAAGTATTTTTAATTGACGTACCTAAAAAAAGAGTCATTTTCAAATCGAAATAAGAAGATAAGATGGAATTTGTTAACAACAGATTTTAATGATTATTTTCATTAAAAAATATCTTAGTGCCATTATTACGTAGATGGTAACCGTTTTGCGGATAATAAATATATATAAATATATATATATATATATATATATATATATATATATATATATTTCATACATGGCTGCATAGAGCCACATGTAATGTAAATTTGTTTTTATTTAAAATATCTAATTAGAATATTTTTTTAGATTTATGCGAATATTTGACATTTTAAATAAACTAATATTTTTTTTAAAGATTATATCGCAGTTTTGTTGTAGTCGTTTTTTGTTACGACGCGTAGGGAATCAAAAATCAAAATAAGTCCGCGAAAAAATCGAAAAAAAATAATTTTATTTAAAATGATAGAATCTAAGAAAGTATTAAGATACAAGATCTTTAAAATATATATATAAAAACGCAGGTCAATTTTTGATACGAAAATTATGGCAAAATATTTTACAATAGTATAGTTTTCCATTAGTGATAATGTTTTCAGAATAGATTTGAATTTTGAAGATTCCAAAGTAACTTATATTCTTTTATAAATACAATATAAATACTTATTATTATTAGAGTGCTAAATAAAATCAGTGAGGTATCAGATCTTCAAGTGTTGGGCGATGGATTTTAAATGAATTATATAAATAACTAGCATTGCTCCGCATTCAGATGACCAAAAACCAAATTCTTAGGTTTTACATATTAGTATACTCTTACATAGCAGTTTTGTATGTATTTTTTCTCAGAAATGAGATATTTTCTCGCGGTAAAAAGTATCCTATATGTTGACCCGGATAACCAGCTATCACCATACCAAATTTCATGAAACTCCCTCCAGTGGTTTTTTGTGATGCGGTAACAGACAGGCAGACAGACATACAAAAATTCTAAAAACTATAGATTCGGCCTCTGTATCGATAATAATGTTTATTTCAATAAGACTTTCCAAAAAATATTTAATGTACAGATTCGGCTCAGTTAGAATTTTATTATAAGTATAGATATTAATAATGAAGCTTAAAAAGCTTAGAAGAAAAAAAGCTTAAATGCACTGTTTAAACATGTAGAGTAATTGAAAAAATATTATTAATTAACCGAATAAAATAAAGTATTTATTAATCAAGATCTCTTACGAATATTGTTTATTGTCATAAAAATACACTTTGTAGGCGTAAAAAATATTAAAATTGTTAAGGCATATCTTATGTTTTACTGATTTTTTGAAGATCAAGCTTAAGCCAATAAAACTTCAAAAGTTTTGAAATTTTAGTCATTTAAATGGGGATAAATAGGCAAGATTTAATTATTTTCTAAATTAAAAAGACAGGTCAAATAAATTATTAGGAGACTCAGAAAGAAATTATGAATGATAAATAGCAAAAGAACAATTGCATTAATATTTTTGAAGTTTTTGTATATTCGAGTAGTAAACTTAAAAGACATAGAAAACCAAGTAACTATCGAAACTGAGAGTTAAAAATTATAATATCTAGTAAATATCTATAAATATTTAATCCTAGAAATCTAAATAAAATTATTTTTTCGGATTTTTTCGCGGATTTATTTTGATTTTGTGGTTCTCGACATTCCGAATGCTTTACAGCAATCATGTTCACGGGAGAGAATATTTTAGACCTTTGAGATGTCTAAAATCCTAATGTCTACGAGAAGAACCAAAAATCAAAATAAATCCGCGAAAAATCCGAAAAGATAATTTTATTTAAAATGTCAAATATTCGCGTAAATCTAAAAATCTAGTTTATTAGTAGATAAATAAGAAAGAATACGTACCGTTTTTAGTTAAATTATAAATCCAGTCAGTCCAAAAGTCAAGTCAAGTCACACAAGCATGGTCAACAGTCACGTCAAAAGTAATAAGTAAAATAGTCACTTGTCAAAGAAGTCCATATATCTAATGTAGGCTGTATAATTAGTCATCTTTGTCATTCAGTCTTAAAAATGGACTAGGTTCGATATTTTGAATTTGGCGCGTTTTGTTAGTGCGCGTGTAGCCGCCATGGCGACCGCGCGGGACTGCGGCGTGGGGGAGGTCGCCAACGTTCATATACTACCACTACTCCTGGTGATGTAAGTGTTTGTCAACAACCGGATTTTGTTAATTATGGTAAATTCATTGAACTTTATGCTAGTTTCTATGTTTATTTGTTAATTGCAAAAATGAGAGTTTAAAGTTTCTAACATCTCGCCCTAGCAAGGGATACAGCGAGTCTGTTTATTTATGTCTATAATGTAGATATGTTTTATCATAATTATTATTATATTCATAATCGACTTTAGCTTCATTTGAAAGTTATGAATAAACTTATTTTTCTCGAAATATTACAATGATTGTTGTTTATAATATCATCTTCCGGAAATTATTTCCATAAACGGCTCTACATTTTCACAAAAATTTAAGGAATATTCTATAATGCAGTTTAATTTTACATTTCTAAGAATCTTTTATGAAATAAATTTTATCAATTAAGAGCTAATTACAGCGGTTTAATCTTTAGTAATACATATAGTGTCGTTAATGTCATTTCACAACGTTTCCTATTACCTTTATTTTATATACTTTATTACCTACTATCCTCATAACCATAATAATATCTAAAATATTATTATTATTACAGCTTCTAATCTTCTATAATACAATAAAATATTGTTGAAGTAGCGTTTTCTCGCAGCATCGACCGTGTATTTCAATTATAATTATTAAACATAAACAAATCAATCCCACGGAAACCGTATATTTTTCCGGGATAAAATTAGCCTATGTGTTATTCTGATGTATGAGCTATATTATTATAAAGTTTCATTAAAATCCATTCGGTAGTTTTTGCGTTAAAGAGTAACAAACATCCATAGATCTAAACATCCAGACATCCTCACATACTTTCGCATTTATAATATTTAGTACTGATTATATCTTTTTAAATTAAAGCATTTAACACATAGATGTTAGTCAAATATATAAACTATATTACTATAAAGTGTCATCAAAATTCATTCAGTAGATTTCGCGTGAAAGAGTAAAAACATCCAACCATCCTTATTCCTTACAGACTTGCGCGTATTATAAAATTACTAGGAATAACAAGCTTCATCTATAGTACAAGTTTTATCCTTTTTAGGCTATATCCGATGTAATTGCGAAACCCTTATATATTTTACTCTTACCCACCCTATACTCTGTGTTTGTCTGTCTGTC